GCGCAGCCGCCCGTCTTGCCATGCAGCTCGAGGTGTCGGTCGGTCTCGGTCGGTCTCGGGTCTCGATCCCAAGGAGTTCGCTTAGAGAATTAGCTTAGAGAGAAAGGTTATACTACAAGAAAGTGTATTGCTACTCCAAGACTCCAAGTTGCTGGAAAGTGCGCTGTGGATCTTGAAAGAAACCTCTTTTTCACTGGCAGTGTTGGAGACATCTTTGTTTGAAGCAAATTTACGGGCAGGAGTCGCCGAAATTCGTGTGATGCTTTCTTTCCCGCTCTGCCAGCAGGCTGTTCCAAATAAAGCAACGCTTCAATCGGAGAGGATCATACCCACATCTTCGAGAGAATTTCCCTCTCCGCCACACAGAATCTTAGGTGAAACAACTGCAGTATTGGACCATTGCATCAACCATTTCCGACCAGTTCGCATTTTTTGGGCAAATAGCCAGAGCTCAACATCCTGCGTCCCGATTGGGTTGTGACCACGTGAACCGAACGAACAGAATATAGTATACCAGCACCACACCTTCATGTCGGGGTCACCAATGGAAGCCCCTACACTACCTAGGGATCTCCAAACAGGAGTCACAAATGTGTGCGGGTTTACATCCAAACTTCCCATGATTTGGGTTACATCCAAACATCAAGGGACAGGACAGGAAGAAATGTGCACCAGGAGTCACAAGGAGTTGGGTGGTGTGGCTCGTCCCATCCAAGTGAGTGAATAATGGCAATGAGCACCCGTAACCTCCATGGATAGCACCCTACTCCAACCTAGTAGCGATGGCCGATGCTAGAAGTCATGGCCTCCAACCTAGTAGCGATGGCCTCCACCTACTCCAAGGAACTGCTGGCAAAGTACTTTGACCTGGCGTGGACCATCAGCACTCATGTGAGTTTCAGGCTGTCCAAGCCATCGAATGGAGACCATGTTTCTTGGACGCCGAAAGAAACGCACTGCGAAGCAAAAAGGAGCCTCACTACGCTCAGTGACTTTCACTCAACACCTTTGAATCATGAACACTTCCGAAAAAGCACTGAACTTCAAAAAAGGCCTCCGGATTTCTCCCAAAGCACCCCCAAGTCTTCCTCGTGCCACATGGGAACAAGTAAGTACCACGCACCCACCCTTTCAAAGGGGGCAAACAAATGTTCAGGCCGCAAGTCGATGCCATGCTCACAATTCGAGACATCACCAGTGACAGGTGATCTGGCAGGTAGGCTTGGACAGGGTGATCGGCAGCGGAGAGTTCGTGTCGCTCGAAAAGGGTGAGCTGCCAAAGCAAATCCCAAGAGCAAACTCTGTGACGTGCCAAAGCACCAGTTTCTTGAACTCTTGAACCTCGACATTTGGCTGAACAAAAGGGTGCTTGACTCCACCGGACGTTGGTCGTGTGTGGCACACACAAACACAACACCTGAGGGACTGGATTCATGCTCCAGGTTTTGATGCATCCCCATTTGTTTAACCCTGGCAAGACCCTGCTTATCTACAAGACCAATGCTTTCAGGTTAATTACCCTGGTTGCGGGGCACACATTCATTCGGCCCCTTGGGCTTGCTCATGTGCGATTGTGGGGCTGGCACGATCGGGGTCAGGGATGAACACCAACTCCGCAAGGAGAAAAGGGAAATCTCAAAGGGTGACAATCCATGCAAAAATGATACCCCCTCCATGTATGCAATATACACCTCCAACCTAGAAGGCGATGGCCTCCACGAAGGTGGACTGTCACAAGGTATACAGACCACCCACAGACAGAAGCGATCTTCTTCACCCACTGATACATCACTCCTACTAACTGTCAAATAAGTTGTATCCACCAGGAGTCACAAAGGGGTGGTGTTTGGTCCCTAAGTGAGTGGATAACGGGCACCCCTAACCTCCATTAAGCACCCCTTTGTGACTGCTGGCACTTGATTGCTTCTTTCAGCGAATCACATCCAACAACCAGGAGTCACGATCCAGGACTTGGGTGGTGTGGCTCGTCCCATCCAGGGGCCGTGGATGGCAATGAGCACCCCGACTTCCTCCGTTCGTTACCCCGACATGGAACTACCAGGACCCTCCGACCCTGGTGTCCTGGCTGAACTACCCCACACTACCTAATTATAGGCTTCCAGACAGGGCACCCCGACAGGAGGGTCCTGGTATATATGGTTTTCCGTGCAACTTCTCTCTCAAAACCAAACATCGATGGTACCCAACGCCGGCATCTTGGCCTGCGCCTACCGCCGACCGCCCGTTTCCGCCTCATACCTCTCTGCCCGTTCACTGGGAGAAATTCAGACATTCGACCTATATCGATGTACATTGTACACGTGCTAGATGTGCTGCAAAACAATAGTTCTCCCCAAGGATTTGGAAAGAGAACTCTTGGAGAATTCAGGGATTCTCAGTGACCATGTGACATCAAGCGACTGGTCATCCTGGACATACATCAGTCATTATGAGACTTTCCATCCGCGACACGTGGAACACAACTCGAACATGATTCATGTTTCTAGCCACAATAAAAAACTATATTGTAAGTATAATAGTATCTGTCCATAAATATAATGTTGCAAAGGACGCAACAAAGAAACACACCTTTGAATGACGAGGTCGTTGATGATACACACACACACACCTCTATTAGATGTTCACTCATCAACACACAGCTCTTCCGTTCATAGCATTAATGAACGATTGAATATCTCCTATACTGCAAAAAGAAAAAGGTGAGAAAGGAAGCCTCTTTCACCAATGCAACTCAGGAGCCCCAGAGCACCAACGCAATGGGTGCCAGTTCTTCCACATCAGTTCGTTGTAATCATTGAATGAATTGTGAAACCGACATGGCCGGGAGTTACCAGCTCTTCGAACTGAATAAACCACTAGTAATTAGTAGTGGCTCATGCCCGATCTCCCAATTATTTGCCCAACAAATGGACCAAGGAGTTTGGGGCCACCCGCCAAAGCCTCTTGGTGGCTGATTCGATTCCAGCCAAGAAACACTGACCAATGGCTGGCTGGATCTTGCAAGTGCCCGGAATGTATGGTCAATCGAGTCAATCCCAGGAAAAAACACGCAACATCTTTGTGCAGGATCACACGACCACCAAGCTTCCCATTTTGTGTAAACTGGGAAAATTGACAGGATGCATGTCGAGCGGGACTTGTGGAACCGAAGTCCACCCATAAAGGGCAATCAAATCGTGGTCTGCGGTTTGCTATGGTTTGCTGCTTCAAGAATCTACGCAACATTGGCCATTCAAGCATATCCTGACATATCCTGACTAACGGTGGCATCCATTCATCCGGGGTGTGCTCTTCTTACCGGCATTTCATGGGCGTCAATGCTGTCTACGGAACATGTTTGTCAAGAAGCGCCGCGGTGCCGCGCCCAGCGAGCGCCCGGGGTCACTGCTTTGCGCCCGGTCCAGTTTGGACAGTTCTGAACCCGAATCCACTAACAGAGGTTGAAGACCCCTATAGGCTATCCTTTGGGTTTTTGCAGTGGGGTCCTATTTACGGTCACTTGACCTCTCTTGGCAGTTTGGTCTACGGCGCCGTTTCCGACGGCGGGTGGTGTTCGTAGACGGCTCACCGGCGGGGAACACACCTCGTCCGATCGAACAAAGTTCTGAACGGACTTGGTCCGGTAGCCACACCAGCGGTGGTGGAAACCGGCTCACCGGTTAAAAAAAAAACACTTGAGGTTGGTTGCAAGACTTGTTGGTTGCTTCGATTGGTTTGAGGTTCTATGAGGTTCTTCAGCAAGTGTTTCCTTTCCGAACCCACCTTTCAAATACCTCAGAGTCCCGTGATTTTTATAGGGTGTCTATTTATAATTAGCCTCTCTGCAACGGTGATAGAGGGGGGCCCCTCCACGTTCACCACGTTCCGCATCGATGCACCGTACCGATGCACCGTACCGAGGGACGGTCGAATGGCCGATGACCCTGGAGCTTTGTTGATATGCCGCTGGACTGTCTGAAGAAGTCTGGAGGACCCAAGGAAATCCCCACCTCTCCAGCGGGGGCTTCCTTGAACTGTGTTTGTTTTTTCAACCGTTTTTCAGTCAACTGGCCAGTCATGTTCGCACATCTTCGGTTCATCCGTCTTCGCTCGTGCTCCAAGAAAAAGAAGGCAACATCGTGCTTGAAATCCGCAATCCCATGCGAACTCATATCGTGAGTCAACCTAACAATGGTCGTCTATAGACTGGTCTATTGTGGCCTGTAGTTATATAATCAGTTTGGAAAATGAAGTGGGATATCCAGGTCCTCGGAATATCATGCCCTCCCTCCTGCAACCAACCAAAACAAAAAGAAACACATTTGTCACGTGTTAAATCGTGTTCACATGTAATTTTGACCCACAACCTACCCGAGTTGGCCTCAAGTCAACACCAAACAGTTGCAGTACTTCCTGGATATTCGGAAATGCATGATTTCGCATGGGAAGATCGGCATCATCTTGGAGGCAACAACGGCAACACACTGAGGTCTCTGAATGGATTGAATGGCTGGAGGTCTCCCAAGCATGGCCAGTCACTGGGTGGATGTTGACAGTGATCGGAATCGCACGCGTAGAGTTGGAGTGGGGCATGTAGACTCGACGAGTTGGAGTAAGACCCACCATACGAAGAGTTCTTTCAAGTAGCAGATTCAGTATGTATAGTGTCTATTCATCTTGAATCAAGAGTCTACGTGTGCATTGTGTTGCACAAATATAAGCTGGGATGTCCTACACAAAAAGAAGCCCCACAGCGTGTTAAGCAATCTTTTAAGACGAACAACTTCGTTTGACGTCTTCTCAGTCCTTTCAAAGCTCAGGATTCCTCAGCTCAAGCTTGGGAGCTCTGTTTTGCTTCTTTTTTTCCAGCTCCCGATGGCAAAACAGTCTGTGGACATTACATGAACATACGATCTCCTGGAATGCAAATAGCACCTTGGAAAGAGTTTCTTCACCTATAGACTAGATTCATTTGACTGAACATGTTCGGAATTTCACACTCTTGCTCTTCTTCGTGCTGCCGCAGCTCGAAAGCCACCAACCCTGTGGCTGCGTCCGAAAGCCTCGACCCGCCAGCTCCGGCTACGCCGTGGCTCCGCTCGCGTTCAGCGCCCGGTGTCTTCGACGGGGCTGGGGTTCGGCGTCCTCGAGCGAAGCATCCGATTGCGCAGCTGGGTCGCCCAGGAGAGCCATTCCTGAGGAGTTCCGGTCTGTCCAGGCCGGGGCTGAACATGGGGAATGGAACACATATGAAAACCATCATGGAAGCTATACTAGGACCCACAAGGGTTGGTTCATGGACACCCCTGGGGGGGTGTCCTGTTTGTGTGGAGCATCTGGGCTGGTGTGGAGCCCATCTGTGGCTTCTTGCTGCCTGTGTGGTCATAGATCTTCCAAGTGTAAAAATGTCTGCCTGTTCATCTAACCGTAACCAGCCAAGTTTATAAGGACAAATCAACGACCAACTCTTTTTTGTAGGGCCCAATGGAATTCTTGCCATGTTGCGTCCAACCTCTGCCGAGACACATTCGTACATCAGGCGGAATGGTCAATGACACAAAACACAATTAAGCTATCATGTTCATCCTCTTCACTACTTCCACTCACACACTGCAACCCAAAAACATCATGCCTTCATTGGTTCATCGATCCGACCTGCAAATGAAGAGGCAGAAGGCACCCAGACTTCCCGTTTCTTTACACCAGTTTCTTTTGCCCGGTCGAAGCCGCCGGACGGCCTCCCTTGGGTTGAAAGCCTCGTCCAAGAGGCTTTGGAGGGTTGGCCATCTCTAGTAGGTTGGAGGACACTAATAGGTTGGAGGCCATTCCTATTCTATTTGGGTTCCTGTTGCTACGAGGTGTGAGGAATGGAGGCGGCCAAAACCCGAACCAGACTCAGTTCCCAACACGTTCGTCACTCGTGACCCGACAGGTCCAAGCTTCGGAGGCTTCGGAGGGCGTCTCTTCACCTCGCGCGCGTGGCTTCGGGGTCGGCGACCAGGGGTGGAACGGTCGGTTCCGGACCAAAGCCGGGCCAAATGGATGGCATGGTTCACCTGACCATCAGTTGGAAAACAGCAAATAGTGGCATGATGCGAAATCTGCCTGAACAGAAGTGGAAGTGGACCGTAGACCTGAGGTAACGTAGACAGGCTTGGTCAATCTCATGGTGGGAACAAAGGGCTCTTCGTAGGGCCTCCTGATTTCAATCCACACCCACCTAGTAAACATAATTATATATATATATAAATCAAAATGTTTATTTGTATTTCTGAAACTCACTAACAATGGTTCTCCCAAGCAGCTTTGGACAATGACTATACCTGCCCCAAAAAAACGGTTCGCTGGACAAAAACATCATAAGCGCTCTCATATATACCTTCTTTCTGGCCCTTCCCAAACACTCCATGGGACTGGAATAGATTACAACCACCCCAACTGATCGCCAAACCCAAACAGGTCGTGCCTGGCCTGTTATGGCCCACCCTTCGACACGCTAACTCCTGAGCTCACCAACTAGACCTGCCACATCTGTAGACCTGTCCCGACCCCGGAAAAATCCCACTGGACCTCGGCTGTTGTAAATGCACTTCTTGAAGTGACCCTTGTTGTGGCGGATCCCTTGCCTTATGCGCGGCGTCGCCATTGACAAGAAAACTGTGCAAGAACACAATGATCCCACATGATTTTTGAACGACAAACTAGTTGGTCACTAGATGGTCTCTTGGTGAAACCTTCCGAATAGCAAAGGCATCGTGCCATGTCCCTTTTCCATCTTGGTTCAAAATGACCTTGTCAACCCTACTGTTGCGAACAATGATTTTCCAGCAGGATTAATCGCCTGAGGACACACAAACGTGTCGTGTGTTTTAATGAACATAATGAAGATGTTGCAAAACACAGGTATTGAACGTCGTTTGCGCGACCTTCTCCGTGCATGATGAATCCGTGCTCACGTGAGTCTCTCTTGCTCAAGGCCTTTCCAAAGCATTCTAGGAGGTCTTCGTTCGAAGGCCAAAAGGTTTGCATGTTCAGTTGTAACAACTCAATTTATCCATCATTTGTCGTTTCCAAATGTTTCCAATGAATAGACGGCCGATTTCTTCTACGGGCCCCCGACATAGAACGTCCATATATTGGTCTTTGCCCCGCACCAACGTGAACAACAACCACGAGACATTCTGCTGTATACCATCGAATATGTTTGAACAATACTTTACTTCGTGCCGTCTTCAGCATGACATTTCAATCGCTTGTTTTCATGCCATGGTGGAGGTGAGGAGCATGCTGCGATGGTCGTGGGCTTTGTGGTTTTCGATTTTGTTTGTGGGTCCTCAGGTTTGGAACTGTTATTTTTGTGTTAGGGAGATCGCCTCGGGCTGTCGCCAAGGTCTCCAGGTGACATCTAAAAATTGTATAAAATTGTAGTGGTGTGTTAGTGTTTGTGTGGTTGTGGTGGTGTTCGTGCATGGCTTTGTGTTTGTGGTTGTGTTTGTCGTTGTGTGCTTGTGGCTGTGTGGTTGTGGTGGAGTTTGTGGTTGTGCGGTTGTGATTGCGATGTGTTTGAGGTTTGTGCGTTTGTGGTTGTATGTTGTTGCTTGTGTGTGTTGTGTGGGTATGCCCGAGACTGCCCACTGCGATCTGGCGCTTGCGGTTGAGGTCCGGTACTATATACTCACTGCGATCTGGTGCTTTCGGATGAGGTCCAAGACTGCTCACTGCGATCTGGCTCCAAGACTGCCGCACTTGCTGTTTAGGTCCGGTATACCTGCTGAGGGACGGACGGACGGAAGGGAAGGAGAGAAGAAGGGAAGGAGCGAAGGAAGGAAGGAAAGGAAGGAAGGGGGAAGGAAGGAAGGAAGGAAGGAAGGGCAGGCAGGCAGGCAGGCAGGAAGGATTGTTTCTTTACCATTACTGTGCTCATGCTTTGTGTAGAAATGTGGTCATTAAATAGTGAGCCTCAAATTGGCGCATGTTCGAACGATGTGAGTCTCCTATTCACATAAAACTATAGAAGAGAAGTTCAGAATAATAGGAAACTCAGCTCGATCAAACTCCCACTACCGCGCCACTCCCCCAAACTTGGCAACTGGTGTCAGTCTTCGGAGACTGTTGTCTCTCCAGATGAGCTCAACTTCAAGCTCGAAAAACCTCCAAACAACTGCGAAGGAAACTGGTACGAACTCCCTCGTTGTCCGTGAAGACAAGCACTCGCTTGTGCCTCAAAGTCTCCTTCCAGAGATCGAGGTTTCCGGCCGCAGTCATGGTCAATGAGACCTCCTCTTCGCAGTCGTCTTCGTAGACCAGACTGTCCCACACCCGGATGAGCTCGAAGTCCTGCAATCGTGTTTTGTCTGCAATGCGTCATCCACACCAGTCCTCCTTTCCCATGCCTTTGGAATCGGGGTGTTCACACCAATACACAGTCGAGTCCGATGCATCCTTCCCACCTTCCTATTCCTTCTTGCTGTCTCTCAACTGGCGTGCAACACCAGCTCCATACTGTGTTTTCAAGTCTTTGAACATGACCCTGCGATACTTTCCTTTTCTCTTGGTACTCATTTTGCGAGATGCATTGGCTACCAAGCTTGAGGCCATCCAGTTCTCACCACTGGATAAATATTCTTCGTACAGCTGTCCCAGCGCCGCACGATCTCAGCTGTTAATGTTAATGTTGCTATGTTAGCATGGCCCCTGGGTACATGACATCAAACACACACCAGTGGGGCAGCTTGTTTGGTAGCTAGATCAAGAAACACGATTCAGCCAGGCAACTGTGCCGTTTGCCAGCCGCTGCTCCCAAAACAGGCTGCGGACAGTCTGCTCCTCAGTGGCTGCGCACGTTGGACAGAGGATGGCAGCTGGTACAAAAAAAGTAAATTCAAGTGCTATAGCTGCATGTTCACTGGCTAGCTATGTACATTTTAACATGAAATGCAGTCAATGTTCGGCGGAGACTGCGAGAAAAACGCATGTAACAATTATGAGCCGGCCATCCTTGCTTCGTACTCTTATTCTATATCAAGCTCCCCACGTCTGCAGAAAAGCCTAGGCTTCAAGCTCCAAGATCACTGTCTCTTTGGTGCGCATGATATAAAACCCAAGCGCAGATCCCTGGGCACAAGAGATTCAAAGAGAACTTCCGGACGTTGAGTCCTTCAAAGGCACAAGGGCAGTAGAGTTCACTATCATCCTCCCTCCAGAGACCGAGCTCTCGCAGGTTTTTCTTTCTCTACCAAAAATCTGCCCGCTTGCAAATTGAAGCCTCCCCCTCAATTGTTCTCCGTCTCTTCGACGAAACCTTTGCCTTCACCCGGTCGCTTCAGTGGTGACGGTGTCAAGTTGTACGCCCAAGACTTTTCAAACTCGATCATATGCTTGTCACTTGACAGCTTCCAACCAAGAATCTCGAAGATCGCCAATACACACAACTCAGCGTGCTGCAGCAGAGCTCCTTGGGTCACACTCAGAAAATCGTCAAGGTACGACGTCCAAAGAAGCTTATAAGCAGTTTGCATCCTATCTTCCATATGGCCATGGCACATCTGAGGAAAGCTGTTGCTGATGCAACCGACCCAAGAGGAATAACTTTTTGTTGATAAATCTCAGGCGCCTGTCTGTCTGGAATATAGACACAAAGCAAGAGTCCATCTTATAAGCCGAGTCCGAGAAGGGTATCTGCTTATATGCATCTTTGAGATCCCAGCATTTACACACAAGATCGCTGTTGACTCCTTTCAATTGTGCTTCCCGAAGGAACCAGGCACACATGTGGTCAACCGAATGAATTGAAACTACTTCGCTCTGAACAACCGAGGCATTGACGAGCGAGGCCTTGTCATTGTCAGTCAAAGAGCGATCCGGGTTCAAGCTATGGACATCTTTGAAAGGGGAGAAGAAATGAAATCTCGACGTCTTAGGCAAACACTTGCCCCAGGCCCCAGGCCCCCTTTGCTCGGAGAAGAACGCAGCACAAGGAAAGCTGAAGCACAGGTGAATCACGCCCAGACCTCCAGCAGCAACGCCGCCCGCAGCAGCAACGGTGGCGGCGCAACATGCGCTGGCTGGAGCACCCTCGACGGATCCTGCAGTTGGGCGGAAGCAGGTGCAGAAACCGAAAGGTGGTGGGTAGGTGATACCACAGAGGAAGGCGTTCAGTGAAGATGCCTGATCGGTTACTTTCCTTGAGTGCGGAGGCGTCCAAAGGTGACACCAGGCCACTTGCCCACAAGTCGGAGGTGGCGGATGATCCGGAGGCCGTGGTCCATCATTCGACCTGCGGCGCCGACTTAGAGATCGTTCACGCTCACGAAGGTAACCCGGGGCCCACAATTAAGTGAGAAACCAGACGTCTGCACACTGAAGTCGACATAAATGCCAGCGAGCCACGTACTCAGGACGTGGTAGAGATTCAGTGAACATGTGAAGTGTTCATGCTGATCATGTGACCAGACTTGGAACCTTGCATGAACTCATGTTCCTCGTGTTCACAAGGTGGTTCACTTAAACCACCTGACTTGAAGCCCAAATCAGGTCGGCTCATCACATTAAGAACGATCTTGAACACAAAAACAGTTCAGAGCATCACCGTTTTTGTTTTTAAAATTGAAACGTGTGTAGAAATAAGGTCCTATCTTACGCGTAAGAGTTTCGTCAGGAAGGAAGGAAGAATGGAGGGAGGGAGGGAAGGAAGGAACGAAGCAAGGAAGGAAGGAAAGAGGGAAGGAAGGAAGGAAGGAACGAAGGAAGGAAAGAAAGAGGGAGGGAAGGAAGGAAGGAAGGAAGGAGGCAGGAGAAGACTGTCTTTAAACATCTAAGAGCCCTCACCTGACAGGTGGAAAACATTACTTTACTTCGAGTAATCCCCACCATGACATTTCAATCATTTGTCTTGATGCCATAGTGAGGAGCATGTTGCCATGGTCGTGAGTATTGTAGTTCTCGATTTTGCTTGTGGGTCCTTGGGTTGTGTGCTGTGGTTGTGCGTTGTGGTTGTGGTTGTGTGCTGTGTTGTGGTTGTGGTTGTGGTTGTGATTGTGTGTTTGTGGCTGTGTCTTTGTGATTGTGTGTTTGTGGATGTGTTTGCGGTTGTGTTTGTGGCTGTGTGTTTGTGATTGTGTTTGTGGTTGTGCTTGTGGCTGTGTGCTTGTGATTTTGTTTGTGGTACTGGTAGTGGTTGTGATTGTGTGTTCGTAGTTGTGGTTGTGGTTGTGATTGTGATTGTGTCTTTGTGACTGTGTGGTTGTAGTTGTGGTTGTGGTTGCGTGTTTTTGGTTGTGTGTTTGTGGTTGTGTGTTCGTGGTTGTGTGTTTGTGGTTGTGTTTGTGGTTGTGTGTTTGTGGTTGTGTGTTTGTGGTTGTGTGTTTGTGGTTGTGCGTTTGTGGTTGTGCGTTTGTGGTTGTGTGTCTGTGGTTGTGTGTTTGTGGTTGTGTGTTTGTGGTTGTTGTGTTTGTGGTTGTGTGTTTGTGGTTGTGTGCTTGTTGTTGTGTGTTTGTTGCTGTTGTTGTTGTGTTTGTGGTTGTGTGTTTGTGGTTGTGTGTTTGTGGTTGTTGTGTTTGTTGTTGTGTTTGTGGTTGTTGTGTTTGTGGTTGAGGTCCGGCAGGGAACACTTGGGTCTGGAGCTCGCGGTTGAGGTCCGGCAGGGAACACTGGGCGTGGATGGTCGTGGTTGAGGATGGTCGTGGTTGAGGTCCGGCGGAGGAGGCGGAGGAGGACGAGGCGGATGAGGACGAGGCGGAGGAGGAGGAGATGGGGCTGACGTAGAATCTAACAACCCTCACCTGACAGGTGGGGAATAACACAGCACTATCCTTCACCCCCCCTCCGCCCGGTTTTGTAAACATGAATGATATAACTACACTGCTACACTCGCAGGAGCCATCCTGGCGCACGAAACACCCACACCCGGGGTGCCTTGTGCTGAATGGATGTTTAGTCAAGTCATAGCTTTTGAGGTCCTCCCAAGTCTTGATCACCTTCTTACACCCGGTTCCACTGCATGCGATGTGGCCTTATGGCTCCATATGGCCATGATCTCTCAAGAGCACCTCAGAAATCCTCACCCGCATCTTCCTCATGCAAAACCGTGGCGCTTTTTCCTACACACCGCAGCGCCGGGAACCGCGCTTCCGCTCGTCACCGTCCCGGAGCGGGCACCGTGGGCCGGGAACACCGCTCCGCCACAAGCGCCGAGGCTCAAAGAAGCGTCGAGCAGGTGGAGATGATGCTCGTGCAAGATGCGGTTCGGTGGGGCCACTTCGTTGCCATCCTCAGAGCTTTGACTGGCATGTCGAACGACTTCGCGGGCGGCGTTCACAAATGGTTCAGAACACAGGGACCTCCTGCGCTAAATGGATATGTCTTGTAGCTCAATGTAGATGAAAACATCAGGGAGACCGACCTCGAAGGCATTCCGAACTCCATTCTTCTTGGAGGTCTGATACACTCGTGGAGATACACACCCATGCTGGTCCAACACACGTCGTGGGGGGCCTTTGGGTGTTCATTCCTAACTCCTCAAAGCCATCGACGATACCGAAGACGATACCAAAGAGCTTTCTGGCGAACGCAGGAACCTCATTGTGGCATCCAAACGTTTGGACCCAAAGTCGTCACTCAAACGTTTGAGGACAAGTTACTGTTACTTTCTGGCGCCGAGAGTTGCCTGACCCAACAAATTTGATATTGCCCAGACGCGACCCTGGGCCCTTGGAGGGGTCTGGGGTCTCAAAGCCCTAGGTTTTGAGGGACCAAGGGCTGTTTGGAGCGTCTGGATATTGTATTATCACCTCAGCTTTGGTACCACTGGACCCTCCTGGCACCTACATGGGTGTGGCCAGAAACCCTGGTATGGATCGTTCCGCGCTGCAGTGAGAGTGATCCAAACCCTATGGATCAGAGCGCTGATCCAAGCCCTATGGATCAAACCGACAAGTCACTTGATCCAAGCCCCCAACATGAACACATCTGCATGGTGGCGCTTCACCCCACCACTTTCTCACCAATTCACTGTGAAGGTGGTGGCTTCCCAGATCAAAGCCATCCTGTTTGCGGCAAGCCTGCTTTGAAGTTCTGGCCGCTGTGAGTTTGGGCTCCACTGTCCACATATTGGGCAATCAGCTGGCCGCGCATATTGGTGACTCAGTGGGCTTTCAAGACATTTAACAGGTGGTGGCTTCAGCTCTAGATTGGAGGCGCAGTCCGAAAACTGATTTAGTGGCTGCCGCTAATTCTGTTTGGCCTTAATATTGTGGTCTAGCGCATTCTGGCACCTTATTTAATGTGCGTTAGTTGGGTTGGCTCCTCCCCTCAAAGGGTTACATAGCCTAATGATAAAAGCGTCGATTTCCAATATTTCACTTCCACAGTGTAAGGGTTCGAGTCCCGGCTGTCAGCACGCTTAGTGGCTTCCGGTAATTAATTTTTGGCTGGAATGGGAAGTCAATTCGAAGTTGAGTCTGGTGGTAATACTGGTGATAGTGGTGAGTAGCAGCAGCAGCAGCAGTAGCAGAAGGAGTGGTGGCAGCAGAGGTGGTTGTAGTAGTGGTTTGTAGTAGTGGTGGTTCGAGTCCCGGCTGTGACCACACTTAGTGGCTTCCGGTAATTAATTTTGGCTGGAATGGGAAGTCAATTTGAAGTTGAGTCTAGTGGCTTCCGCTAAATCTGTGGTGGTGGTAATACTGCTGATAGTAGTGAGTAGCAGTAGCAGCAACAGTAAAGCTGTTGCAGTAGTAGCAGCAGGTGGCAAGTGCAGTGGCAGTAGCAGTGGTGGCAGCAGAGGTGGTTGTAGTAGTGGTGGTGGTGGTTGTGTGATCCAAGGGCTTGGATCACACACCCACCTTTTGATCCATACCCCATGGATCGAGGTATGGATCGTGTGTGGGTTTGGGTGTGTGATCCAAGCCTTATGTTTTTGGCCGTAGCCACATAGAACAGTGTCGAACACATCACCTTCTCAAAGGGTATGTGGATCCCTAGGGATAGACAAATGAACCCTCTCCAGCACTGTATCGGGCATCGTTACAATCTATTGCAGGGAAGCTGCAGGTCTTTTCTGCCAAGTTTTCTCTGGTCATATCATCTGCATGCTGGTCTTCTTTTGCAAAGCAATTTGTGGATACGTACACAGAATGTATCTGCGAAATCGGCACGGACACTCTACAAACTGTTTGTCTTTTCGAATCCCTTGTCCATTCTGATCTGCCGTGCTCTTCTTTGTTGTCGTCGTCGTCGTCGTCGTCGTCGTGGTCTGTGTCTGCATGTGGTACTGCAGTACTGCATGCACTTTCTGCACCCCAAGAGAAATCAAATTTGGACAGTGACCGTACGACCTTCCGACGACCGGGCGATGTCGGGTGACATCAGGTCGACACAGTGACGACTGAGCGCGCGAACGAACGATCGTCATGCCGCGTCTCGCTCGGTTTTTCCCGCCCTGGTCCATCTTGATCCCTGGTTGATGCACTGAACGAAACAAGAAATACAGGATGAAGAAATGACAAATGACATCTATAGAAGATCCACTGACTCCAGAAGGCGGTGGAATGTGGAAAATAGCCCAAATATTACTCAAATCTGTGGGGTCGCTACTCACTACTAGCCCCAAAAACAAACAAATTTTACCATCCCGGAATGTCTTACCAATCTCAATCGCAGTGTTTCTTGCCTTTTCGGGCTGTGGAACAAGGGATTGCTCACTTGGAAAGCTTCGGCAAAAATACCAAGACACTCCATGGGACTTGCGTATTTACATACATTGCTGTGGTTGAAATGGGGTCAATGTAGTGAATTCGTTAAATATGCCAGCCCAGATCGTGTCTGGGATAGACGTTGACCATTTGTTCACTATCGGTGAATGGTCGCGTCTTCGACTGTGCTTCAGATGCTGAGAGTACGCTGCACCCATGAAGCGTGCATCAATCAACTGAGGTTCCGTTGCCTGTTGAACTGAGAGTCGGTTTTCCAAATTTTGGATAAACATATTAGAAACCCTAGGGATCCAAGTACCTTCTCAGAAGATGATTGGAGACACTCTTATGTAGGTTTGGAGGGTCCAAGTACCTTCTCAGAAGGTACGACTGGATCCCTAAGAACCCCAAGGAGAACAACATCATGAATGACAAGAGCATATGGAACATTAAACATTATGAAACTACAATAGGACATAAGGACCGGACCCTAATCAAGATCGAACACATTGAGTTGGTAGAACTCTTTGAGGGTGACGTGACCATTTTCGGCGACGTGACACTGGCGATTTCGAACCTGGTTTCGACGCCGGGCGAAACGAGAGGAGGACGGAGACAGGTCCTGCCGTTCCCACGGAACCGTCGAAAACCGGTGCCGTGGAAAGTCCGCGCTAACCTAGAGAGACCAAACGAAGCGATGGTCTCCAAGCGGCCTCAAAACTACGGCCTCCAACCTACTTAGAGATGGCCTCCAACCTAGAAGCGATGGCGTCCGTGCTATTGGCAATTCTGAGTCTCCAGTGGCACACCCCAGGAGAAGTACGAAGCATAGCCTCAGCGCGTGCGCGTGGAGCGCAACAGCGTCCATCTCTTTTTCGAGCGAACGCGTGCGACGTTGATGGCAACTGTGGGACTGTGGAAAAGAGTGTTTCCTTGAATAACAAAGCTACTCCTCAACAACGGAGGGTTCCGGGCTTTAAAACACCCACAGGTGCCTTGGGGTACCGAAATGACTCCTCTTCCTTACCCCTCATGAGCCTTGCTTGGGCATTCTGCTTGTCACCCAGTTATATACGCACCCCACTGCTTAGGTCTGGCGCAGCAGCGGCTCTTGGGTCTTTCGGCGCAGCGCTCTGCTGTCCGGAGGGAGAACAACCACCCAATCCCATACACTCCATGGGACTGGCAGTCCTATGCCGCCCCAGGTCCAGACCCCCCAAAACAACCACCACCCGTGGCCGTTTTGAAGGCATATCGGCAGTCCCAGGTCCAGGTCGTGTCTGGGACTCCGAAGACGACCTGTTCGGGTCGGCAGACCGGTCCGTCCTCTCCTCGCGGCGGCCGCGCTCTCCGCGTCGTTTGGCAGACCGCCCAACCACGGTCGGTCCCAGCGACTCGGCAAACGTGTTTGGTCCACCTGGCCGCGCGGAGCGAACGACGCTCGGAGCCATGGCTCGGTGTCGACTTGGAAGGTCTTGGGATGGTCTTAAGGTCTTTGACCCAGACACTCCATGGGACTGCCATAGGACTGCCGATCAGTTGGGGTGGTGCCAGGGGGGTCAATGGGGCGGCATAGGACTGGCAGTCCCATGGGTCGTGTCTGGGTGAAGGTCTTGGGGGTCGTCTGAGCCTCCCTCCCAAGGTCCTCATGGTTGCATGTCATGGTCCGTGGAAAGACAAACAAAGAACACAAGACTTATCAAAGCGGGCGTGCCACACTTCCATGTTTGTTGGAAGGAGGGTAGGTGAAAACAGAGCGCAGGAGAAACCCACAGGTTCTGGTTTGGACCTGTTCTCATGGGTTGAAGGCCATGGAAAAAAGAGCCAAACGACCCTGGACTGTCCTGGGAAAGACTAGAGAACCAATATACCACCTGCAACTGGCAGATCACAAGAAAGATCAAACAAAATACCATCACACCATCGAGGATGATCAAGGTCCAGGTGCCAATGAATTTGCCTCATGGATGATTCCAAAACATGCTCCGCAAAACACTTCGTTGGTCGCCGAAGACCGACCCTCACCGACCCGTACCCTCAGCGATGCAACGGAGCGCGGACTGGGAATCGGGACTGGAAGAAGATGAAGACCGCATGACTGGCGACTGGGTGGTTTGATGATGTGGACTAAGGATCAACTGTTAAGGTTTAGTTACATGGTCATAAATCTTCCAGTCCCCGTGGTTGATCATGGATTGTTAGGGAATGTGTTTTCTCATGTTGCAAGGTGAAGGCCCTCAGTGGATTTAGTTGGTGAATTCTCAGGGTGTGAGATATTAAATGACTGCCAAAAAGAAAGTCACTGTGAACTCTACATTCCAGGCTTCAGAAGACCCCCATGGGGTGGCGATTCTTTCGTAATTCATGTGTTCCATTTCAGCCAACTGTTCCAGACTTCAGAACACCACTCACATCTCTCAGAACACCCCTTCCTCCATCCGTCCCCTCTCATTCCCAACTCAAGCGCAACACCGTCCCGTCGCCCTTCACGGCGCCGTCGGCACCTCCTCGTCCGTCAGCTCCGTCAGCTCCGCGTCGTCCGAAGGATCGTCGAACCCCGTGTCGAGCGGCTCGTCATCGCCTGTCACGGGCGCCGGACGTCGTGGATTGGGCCAAGGCCATCGCGATACCCGGCGTGCGGAACCCGTGTTTGAAGGCTCAAAATTATTAGTGTCTCTTGTTATTGCGCAGCGCTCCAACAGTCCGAAGAATTGGCACAATTTCGTGGGAAGCCACGATGTTGGTTATTGCTATTGCGGTCCTTTTGAATCACCGGATATCGCCGTCCCCCGGTTCCATCGGTCGATCGACGCCGTGCCTGAGATCTCCTCGAGCTGCATGGAGGCCTCCAGCATGCAGAGGTCGAAATCGGACTCTGGTCTCCTCAGCGAAGGCCAGAAGAAGAAGGAGTAAGGGTGCCAGGGTGCTATACCCAGACACGACTAATGGGACTGCCAGTCCTATGCCGCCCCATTGACCCCCCTGGCACCACCCCAATGTAGGCATACCTGCAACCTCCTAATGCTTACTTTTTTCAGTTGTTTCAAGCAAAACTGCTTTTTCAGATCAGGAACTAATATTTTTGCTTGGCGGCGTTTCTCGAGATTTCAGTTTTTTTCCATTTCTCCAAGGCTGAATGAACCATGGTTATCTCTGCCGTCCAGCAATATCTTTGTGTGGACAAAGGTTTGCTCGGCCAGCCTTTTTATCTTTTATCATATCGTTGATCGATCAAGAGAGTGACATCATGTCACCAGGCCAACCCAGGAGGTCTACTTCACTGGTTGCACAACTTCAAGTGTTGATGGTACACACTCTCACCAGTGATCATCACATCAAGACTCTTTTGACATCTTTTGACCTCCTTTTCAAAGCTTGGAGCTATCTGGCGCCGGTCAGCGCATGGCCTGGCCATCGGTGATGAGATTTTGTGCCCCTTCTGACGTTTCTTTGCATGCTTCAATCAAAAAACCTGGTCGAGTAGAGAGAGTAGAGAGAGTAGAGTTGATGCAGTACTGTGCCATGCTGCATGCTCTCCAGTGCTTGTGTCTGAGAAACTTCAATCAAAGAAGACTTTTGGGCTCTGTACTTCCTGTCTAGTTTCTGTTGGGTTCATGTCGGTCGCTCCAGTGCTGTCTCCCGAATCCCAGCCTCTACCAAATGTGTGGGAAGATCCACGCCTGGGCAAGGGCACTCTTGCTACTCTTTTGGAGCAGCAGCCGGCACTTCGACAGCGGATGCATGACCAAGAGAACCCGCATGTCACACGCTGGCTTACCAAAGATGCCACTGGTGTTGCATCAGTCCGTGCGATGGCCTTGAACCCTACCCTGTTGGAGCTGGTGGCAGAGTGGTATTGCTCAGTCCAACCAAATCCCAAAGCACTTTGTCTCAGCGTTATTCGGAGGGAGGTGGGAGGTGGTTCAAAAAAATGGAGCCCTCAAGTGTATATGTGGGTGTGTTTAAGAAAAAGGTTAGACATAATAATGAGTTCAAGTTCAAGTTGATGAGACCCCTGCTACAGGTTGCACTGTTCAGGGAGCTTTGCGGAAAGCCTGCTGATGCAGTCCATACTCACATGGATGCCCAGGGCATCAAAAAGCTCTTTTCACATGGCATTCGTCGGTTCTTAGCTCGCACATCGTCCAGGGACGCTCAGCCGTACTTTGTTGTTTCCTTTTATGCGTTGTTGTGTTTTTCCCCAAACAGTTTACTGTTGGGGTTCTATCTTAGAAAGAAAAGAGCTGGCCACACTCACTGGCCGCGCCCCTTAACTCTGTGGCTGGGCTCCGTGGCTGGGCTCTGTGGCTGGGCCTTGCCCTCCTCTTGTCCTCCTCTTGGCCGCGCCCCTGAACTCTGTCAACTCTGTGGCTGGGCTCTGTGGCTGGGCCTTGTCCTCCTTTTGGCCGCGCCCCTGGACTCTGTCAACTCTGTGGCTGGGCTCTGTGGCTGGGCCTTGTCCTCCTCTTGTCCTCCTCGTGGCCGCGCCCCTGAACTCTGTCAACTCTGTGGCTGGGCTCTGTGGCTGGGCCTTGTCCCCCTCTTGTCCTCCTAGTCTACAGCAACTCTGTGGCTGGGCTCTGTGGCCCGGCTCTGTGTCCGGGTCTTGTCCTCCTCTTGTCCTTGTCTTGGCCGCGCCCCTGAACTCTGTGGCTGGGCTCTGTGGCCCGGCTCTGCGTCCGCACCTTTCCAAGAAGGACAAACAAACAACTAGGGTCACTCAAAAAGTTTTGTGTTCTCAATTTTCTGAGCTTAGTTTGCTATATCTCCATCCACCTCCCATATATATAAATAATGAGCAGCTCTCCGCCATTTTGATCCTCGCTTAGTTTTCTATATCTTCTTCCACCTCCCATATTTATGAATACTAGCTGCTCCTCCAAAAATGTTTCAGTGTTTCAGTGTCAATGCCGACAAAAATTCATTGATGAAGCAGTTTGCTCTTGGGGTGAAAGTAGGGTGAACCAAGAAATCGTTTTTTGACTAATATTGGTCTTAAACGAATCTGAATCGTTTTGAAGCTGTTTGGGGTCTATGCTTGTATAATGTGAACGACTGACCATGGCCTTCAAAACTCTTCAGACACTGAGGCAGCGGATTGAGGCAGTTAAGAAGCACTGCCGGACCCAGCCAGAAAAACTTATGAGGCCATGTTGATCGCCCTAGAAGAGAGATCTAGAGACTTCTTTTCCACTGTCTGTTGGACAGCAAAAGTCTTTGATGAACGGTGTGGCCCAGCATGAACAACATTAAACACATAAAGCTCAAAGAAATAAACTTGTTCGACCCGAGCTGTTTAAAGCATATTAATTTTTGAAGTGAAATCCAAACCAGCCCTGTGCGTAGGCGTGACACCTACCAGAAGATTATGCTCTACTATGTTGAAACGGCTGTCAAGGGCACCTTCAAGTCACTAGGTTGCAACACAACCTGACCTATAACAATTCATCCTGAACTAGCTAACTGTTCTAAGGCGAGCTTCTTCGATTCAAGTCAACCAGCGAGCACGTCTTCAGATTGAGGGCCTTGCGATGCCGCTCAGTCTGGATGGTGCCCCAGGACATACACCAGCTTGCGGCGACAGCGCAGGCCTAGCAATGTGTTCGAGACCCGTGCCATAAGATTTAAGCAATTAAACTTCTGCAGGCGATGTACACGTGGAGGATCTGACCAAGGACGAGGGCGTGGAGGATCAGGCTGGGAAGCTCCGCAAGAAGCTGGGCATTCCAGAGCTTGACCCAGACGCCCTACCTAGTGCAAACTTGAACAAATACTTGCACCTCAACTTCAACCGGTCTAGCTCCAATTTAATGGAATGGTGGCAGAATGTGAGAAGGAATGAACAAATTGTGGCAATACAATAACAGATCGATAAGTCCATGTACGCTGTGATTATTCTAAGGCAAGCGCTTGCGAAGCGCATCTCAACCACAGCTACGATGGCGGACAAGTTTCGGGACGCACAGAAACAAACAGATGTCCAGCAACGGCTGGTTCCCCAGAACATGGTTGAGCTTTGAATTACGTTCACAAAATCAATCTTGAGTATGTCAGAGTCTGAGGCTTGGAAAAGCCCTCAGGGATTCGGTGACTGACCTGGAGACAGTACACACGGATCTTGCCAAGGAATACTCGGCAGGTGTTGTGAAAGGCTTCACAAAGGAGTGCCTAGCCTAAAGCTTTCAACCTGGACATGCTTTATCGTTTCGATTGCGGGCTTGAGTAGCCAGACTTTAGACTTTAGACTGTATACTGCTGCGCATCGTGAATCGTAAACGTCTTGCCTGCTCCCAGGGATGAATGCCGGCTGAAGACCTTGATTGACAATGCGCACGAAAAGCTCTGGCCCAAGAGTCTTTGTGACACTGAGTTCTCTCTGCGGCTGATTCTAACTCTACACATACAATTATTTTGAAGATCTAAGGGCATCGAACAGCCTTTCTTTGGAAGCTCGAGCAAGGCTTGCTTGAAGTTTCAATTCTTTCATCCTTGCTGCAAGCTACTTTTCGCAGGCCCTTTGTGCCGAAGGCTGGGAAGGATAGTAAAAGTGCCACGGCTCCCAAAAGGAATGCTAAGTCCAAGGCAAAGCCCACCGGCAGGGGCAAAGCCAAAGCTGCCAAGGTGGAGTCGCCTGAGTCTGCTCCCAAGCGGAAGCGTGGTAAGTAGAGAGTCAGCACTTCTGCTTATGCATGGTTCTTCACGCTACCTTTAGGTGGTAGCTTGTGTAGCCACTTGTGACAGGGAGACTTTAGATCGCAGTCTCTGAGTGAGACTGAGTATTTGTTGTGTTTTGACACCTTGAGGTGTGAAGAGACTCTTATGGAATCGGATTGGTTTTGTTTTGATTTAGCAGGTGTCAACATTTGGGGGTTCTTCAATGGAAGCTGTGTGATGAACATGCAGCCAAAGTTGAATTCCGGCGGAAGGATGTTTCAATTCACTACCAATGGACGCTAAGGGATAGAAAAAAATCCTGAACACTGATCGACTGAATGCAGAATAGCGCAGCAAACTCTTTTTTGCTAGTGCTGTGGATGGTTTCTGAGGGGTGGTCAATCAAACCCTGGTAGACTGGTAGTGGCCAGGCTCTGGGTCAGCTTCCTCACAACCAGCTCCTGCTCCTGGTGATCTAGCCACCAACTACACGGAGATCCTATCAGATGGGGTCCCCCTCTTAGTGATTGTCAGGTATGCTTCTTTCCCCTTGTTTTGGTGCAGCCTGTCGTGCGTCCTTAGGTTCCGGCAGCAACTCTGAGCGGCTTTGCTGCTGCAGCCAGGAAGGAGCTAGGTGGTCCTGAGCTGTCAACTTCCTCCAGTTCCAAGAAGAATGCTTGCAGAAATGCTCATGCCTTCATTCGCAAGTGGGGTCTTAGTTGGCAGATCCCCTTCTCTTACATCGACTATGGAGATTTGAAGGTTCCATACCTCTCTCCTCAATCCTTCATGAAATTTCTTTTGAATCGAGCACCAGAACTCGTCCTGGGAGGGCAGGAAATTTCAACTGGACAGCAGTCTCTCAAAAAAGTTTTGGGACACTTATGAGTCTTTCCATCCTACGCATGCAGTCTACCAGCTTCAACAACCAGAAAGAACAAGAGGAAACACTCTAGTGCTGCAGCTTCACGGAGATGAGGGCCGGGTAATACATGCGTCATCATGGTGGAGACCGTCTTGGGGCTGGACAGTTTCCAATCATCGTCCAAAAGGCAATCCAGGGCCTGCGAAGATTGCTGTTTGAGCGAGAAATCTGCAAAGCGGTGTCGGCTCGCCTCTGGCTTCAGGGAATGTTCGACCAGTGTCTCTAGCGATGACTGCCCTACACATGCAAACAAACTACAAGTTGCACTCGTACCTGACTCGATTTGTGTTGGTTGTCCTTCCCAACCGCTTGAGCAAAGACAAGAACTTGCTCAACCTGATCTTCATTCGACTCACCGAAGACTTCAAAGAGTTGTTTGAGAGGGGTGTTGCCACACAGTCTGGGCGGTGGTTCGGGGCCCTGTTGGGGTTCAAGGGGGACCTCAAATGGTATGAGAAGATTGCTTCACTGGATCGATGCTTCAATCGGCAATTGAAGTTGGACGCTCACATGTGTCATGAGTGTTTAGCCGGCGTTCCCACGCTGCCTTTCGAGACGATCTCTCACCATCCAGCCTGGGAGGAAACAATCTATTCGCAGAGACCCTGGTCCTTTCCTCCACCTTGGGAAAGCATTCCTTTCAATGTGGACAACCAGAACCCCAAACCTGAGATGATTCTCAGACGCGATGTATTCCACAATTTCAAGCTTGGTGTTCTGCGTGATTTCACTGCTTCAGCCATCCTCCTCCTGTGCCACTTGAAGTATTTTCATGAAACGAAGACGCGTGGGTCTGGAATCAGCAACAAAATTGATGTTCTGCTAGAGCGAGCGTATCACCACTTCAGGCTTTACTGCGATACATCGAAGAGGTATCCAGCACTACATAGCTTCACCCCAATTTTCTTCAACCGTACCAAGTCTACAGACTACCCCTGGATGAACGCAAAGGGCTCTGACATAGTTCTGGTAGTGGCCTGGCTTCGGGTCTTTGTGGCAGGCCTACTTCTCAATCCACTTGCTGAAGATCACAAACATGTTTTGGCGGCCATTCAAGAGGGTGCTGCCGCAGTGGAGAATTTTCACGGAATTCTGTACACACACGGCATTTTCTTGCACAAGGAGTGTGGGGCACGTCTTCACCAAGAGCTTCACACCGCGCTGAACTGCTACAACAAGTTGGCATTCCATTCGTTGTACGGGTACTCTTTTTGTGGCTTCTCTATGAAGTCCAAGTTCCATGGAATGTGCCATACAAAACGTGATTTGCTTGTTGATCTGGAGTCAGCTACCTCTGCATATGTAATTTCACCTCTATGCTTTGCCTGTGAAGGCAACGAGGACACCATCGGGCGCATATCCCGCCTCTCTAGAAGAGTCAGTCCAAGGATCCCAAGCAAGAGAACTTTAGAATTGTATCTTGTAAAGGCGAAGATGGTTTACGATCGGTATCGTAAGCAAAGAAAGATCAATGGACAGGGGACGCCAAAGAAGTGACCGTTCTGTTCATGAGCTTTTGCACTTGCTATGGCCTACTAAGAACACTAAGAACATCTAAGAACCTAATTTGTGGCAAATACCACCCCATGTTGACGACTTGGCGCCCCAGCATCCACGGCATCAACGCCGACCAGAGCCGTGCACTTGAGCAGGAACAAAAGGCAGCAAAGGAGGGGCGGACACACCAAACCATTCCCAAACGACCTTTTTTTTTTCAAACGACAACTCTTGAGAGAAACGACCAAATAAAACTGAGTTTCAACCAACCACAAAAAAAAGGAACACCTAGATGTTCCAGGTATATGGCAGTCCCATGGAGTGTCTGGGATAGATGGTGTCGAAACATGGAAGTTACAGCAGTTGAAATGGATGGATCATGAAAAGTACGGGCTAAACTGGTACAGCCTTTGTTTGGCTTCCAAGAACCAAATATGGTTTTACACCTCTAAAGCCAGGTCAATCATTTTAAACATAGTCTTGGAAGAGAAGGCTATGACATGCTATGACACTATTTCAGTCCCTTCTTGCTCCTGTTTGGCTATTACCGGTGGCTGTTTTCGGCCCGCTCCGAGGCGTCACTTGCAGAGTTGAAGAAGTGGACGACTCGCACAGCATGTGACGTGTCGCTCCGAGCGTGTGCGATCTTCGCATGACGAGTCATCGCGTTGTGCGATCTTCGGTTCCCAGTCTCGACTAATGGGACTGCCATATATGCCTACATATGCCTACATTGGGGTGGTTTGAGGGGTCAATGCATACATGGAGTGTCTGGGGTTTGGTGGGTCAGCGTCTTTGGGCGACATCGCTCCGTACATCAGGAAGACGTTGGGAGAGTGGCGAACAGCATTTTCGTTCCCACTGAAATGAAGATACCTAAACTACCCCCATACAAGCGGGTCCTCGAAACGCAGGCAACCACAACTCCGGTAAATCCAATTCATGAAGACTGTCAACACACATTGAGGCCAAACAGAACTCTGTCGTTGCTTCAATTAGAAGTCTGGGGAGGCTGCCACACTGAGGCTGCGTCGGCCCCAGTCGAATCAAATGTGTCGCTGTTCTCCCAAAAGTCTATCCGCTACCTGTGAACATCTCCACACACCCCTGGCTACAAAAATGCCACCACAAAGCACGACTACTAAATGACCTTCTAATCAAGTTGCAGCGGACTTGGTAGATGCCCAATTTTTGACTCCATCTGGATGGCCCAAATCTACGCGTTTTTTCCGCAGATTGGTGCCCTAAACTTGATCCGAGAAGGCACCAGGTCATGCAAAGGTCATGCAATCGTCATACAAGGCGCCTGACTGGGAGATGTCCAGTGAAGCACCAGACCCCGCTTCAATTGATGTTTAATTGGAGGGGCTGCCTTGAAAGGGTGGTTCCGGAAGTCTGGAAGTGGTTTTGAGAGTCTGCAAATATATACCTTCTAAAAAAGACCCTTGCAATTCATTGAACATTCACTTGTCTTGCTCAAAATACAGATCCAGTTCCCCCGGCGACCTGTTCTTTTTTTCCCTCAACCGTGGCGAGGGGAGACCAGTCGATGTTCAACGAGAGATCCTGCAAACCCATTTTGGGCATCCCATGAGACCGGCTTCCTGCCGATCTGACCCCGGAAATGAATCAACCTGTAGACAGGTTGAAAATGGCCATGGATGGGACAGATTGGATCGTTTGCTGCGAAAATGAGTTCATGGTCCTTATACTTGCGGTTTTTCCATGCATGTCTGGCACACAAGGCCCCTATAGCCTTGATCTTGTCCTTTTCACTTCGCTCCGAAGACCAGCGTCTTCCGTGACGAACGGCGGCGGCGGCCCATCGTAAACGACACGAATGGGACTGGCAGTCCTATGCCCCAGAAAGACCCCAGAACTGATCGGCAGTCCGGCAAGTCCCAAACGTGTCGTGCTTATCCATTTGACCTGACCCAGACGTGACCCCAGACCGGCTCCCGAATCCGTCAGTGGTCTGGGGGTTGTCTCACCAATCCGCTTGAAGTAGGGACCGGGAAAGGGCTGTGAACTCACTCACGGAGCCTCTGGCTTTTAAGAGGTCATTGGGACCTGTTCACCGATCGAAGAGGATCCAACTGGACCAATTGCAACAAACGGCGCAGACCATTTACAGTGGTTTCAGAGTGGCGCAGACCTCCAGATGTCCACAGATGGGGGTTCCCAACCACCAAACTGTCCATAACTTGTGCCATCGACTCTGAACCCATCTACTCCCAACGCACCCGAAATCGGATCTTCGGCTCGCCAGTCCCTCTCTCTCTTTGGGCCTGATTGATGTGCTTGCAGCAGTACCTGATTGCAGCATCGCTGATGAAGCCGGAGCCGACTAGGACCGACCAGGACCGAAAAGCCCGGCTGGGAGCAACCAGCCCATCCAACTCATTCATGACTTTCAACCAGCCCATGATGGTGAGAACAACATCCATCAACAACATGCACCGGACCTAGACCATCTATAGACTGCAGCCCAGGTGGTAGCCTTGCCACATGCATTCTTCATGTTTCACCGCTCTTGATGAGTTGGAGAACATGGTACCCTCCCAAGAACACAGCCCCTGTTCCCTGGTTCGTAGAGGAATTCGTGTTCTGTCCAGGGGCCATGCCATTGAGCTTCCATGATTGTTTCAGGGAGTCTAAAGAATGAGATAACGAATATTGTAGATCTGATGATCAATATGATATTAACAATAATAACAAGGTAATATCACAAAATATATTTATACTCTAAGCGGCCCCCCGTAGGATTCAGCATCTTCCAAAAGGACTCTCTCAAGAGCGTGCTACAAAGATAGCAGGCAGGCAGGCAGGCAGGCAGGCAGGCTTGTCGAACACATGCCACTGCGAGTTGCGAGGGAGGGAATTACAAGATCTAGAGCTCATCTGATCGCAAAGCAAGAAGGTTCTACAGCGAAAACCAGAAGTGGCTCGACAAACTTCAATGTACGGCTATATAGATAGAGGAATTCAATCTTGGAAGTGCTGCCGTGAGCTCCACAATTCGCACAATTCCTGAAACACTGATCATCATCCATCTTAAACTCCCTTCACACTTCCACCCAAATTGTTCTGTCCCCCTTCATCAGATGGAACTTCCGGACCACCAACTCTGCACCACAAACCGCTCGCACACGATGCTGCACCACACGTCCTCCCGTGTCCTCCACGGCTTCCCCACCACCACTCCGCACTGGTCTCGGCCCGTCTCCCACCACCGCGCGGCACGCCCGGTCGGTCTCCCGGTCTCCAGGCTCCCCGACTGGATGAAGTCCTTGCCACCCTCCTCGCTGATCACGAAGCGCGCGCCGAAGTCCGCGGCGAACCAGGAGGCCATGATCGTCTGCAGCGCCTGACCAGCGGTGTGCCCGGTACGGGTGCGGGGGCCTGTCAGGTCAGGCGGGTCAGTCCAAGCTCCCTGGCCTGATCGGAGGAGTGCTAGACGATCCACAGCTAGTTTAGAGGGTGTCCTAAATGATAACTGCACTTTATAGACTATATAGACTGACATTGACATATCATACCTTGTACTTACAAGGCTCCAACTACATCCTCTGACTTGCTGTGTTTTTTTTTCTGGACAATTAGAGGTTAACCTCTCTCATCCTTTCTGCACCTTCGATTCGCTTTTGGCGGGGAATCCAATCCACCCCAAAAGGTGCAACATTCATCTACTGACCGGCGAGGTCCTAAGCATGTTGCTACGAACCCCAATCTCTACCGTACCGAAACGCTGAAACGGTAACAAGTTGAATGCCCCTTCGGTGAAACGGAAAGGACCCATCCAGAACAGGGAATCTTTCAGAATCGATGATCAACGGCACAATCTATAGTGTATATACCTGGATCTTCCAACTGTGCAACAATTAATTGTTGCCTTTTCATCTACAAAAACCCACCAAGTGAGGCAGAAACGTTGCATTTCGTTGCCCTGCAAGGGGTGGTTGCTAATGGATACTCTATTCGACACCTCTAAGGAACCATAATTCGACACCCCATCGCCCGGGGGCCCTGGTATATACCTATAGTAAACCATAAGTGTGCATTATTTTAAAAATCATTTTGGAATAAAAAATGTTTTGTGAACAAAATATACTTTCTCAACTTCACAGATCCCAACATACACTTTTTGGTATTTCACAACATTCCAGACATGTTACATGAGAAACCGGATCCAAAGGGTTCCCAGCCACCGCACCAAAAAACAAGAGCGGAAATACCCGTCCAAAAGGCGGAAATCGGCGGAACAAAGGCGGAAATACCCGGACAATAATATGGCCCAGGTTTGTCAGGCTTGCAGGGTCAATTTGAAGTGCATCTGTTCCCACTGAAATGGGCCAGGAAGACACGATAGCACTTTTCACTCCCGATTACACTTTTGCTTGAAAGAGTACGTTTTTTGCTTCCAAATCAGCCGATGACAAAAAAATGGCAAGGTTGGGTTTTCAAGGTATCGATGTCTAACACAACCTCTCTGGACATTGTCGTTCTGCTCGGTTCCACCTTTCACGTAGTCGACCGTCGGTCTTCTCGCCGGCAACACATCCGTTGCATGGGAAGGGCATGGTTCCCCAAACAGTGTGGGCACACTGAGGGGTTCTTACGGTAGGTGAAATTGCACGTGATGTTCCCGGGCAACGTGGGCGGCGACCACGACTTGACGACGACAACATGACGAAGAAAATAATTTGATGTTAACATCCCAACCACCATAGAGGTCAGGGGTGGTGGTGCATTTTGATCCCTTCTGAAGATAAGTGGATGCCAATATCCCAATCAACATCGAGGTGCTTTCCTGAAAAACATTGTGTTTGTTTTAATTTTGCCTTGAATTCCACCTCAACTATACCCATGCCGGAAGTTCTGACGTTGCTGCTCGCTGTCTGACAGGTGTTGGGACCAATTGAACCAGGACAAGATGATTGGTTTTTGGCAAAATGAATTCAAATCATCCAATCAGCTAAACCATTAAAAGGTAAATGGTTCATTATGAGGATGCTTTGAGAGGCCAAAGCTATCAAAGGGATCGAAGACTCAATTGTCCATCAGATCTTATATGTTTCATTGCTTTCAGGTGTCGATGAAAGCTGTTCCTGTTACAGTCTTGCTCAGGTCAGTCATCTTGTGGCGAAATGCTTTGGGCAGCGTCACTATCTCTTGCCTCATCTTTTTGAGTGATGAAATACTGAACCCTTGATGCTTCTCTTGGCGCACTACTCTGCCACATAATTATAGCACCTTCTTCAGCGAACATCGCATGCGCCCACATGGCAGAAACTATTGCCATCTTGTGGCTGTGGCGCAGTGCCAAGCAAACCTGATCTGCCAAGGCTTGACAATCACGCGATTGGAGCAGGTGCAGTTTTCGTGGCAGGTGCAGCACTTCAGACATGGTGGTGTTCGTCGAAGAGCTCTGATTTCGTGACAGGTGACTTTTGGACATGTGGCTCGTTTGCAGATTTCGTGGCAGGCACAGCACCCTCGATGTGCAGATTTCGTGGCAGGTGCAGCACTTTGTGAAAACCTCGAAGTGCAGATTTCGTGAAAGGCGGCACCTGCCCTGAGATTCGTGTATCGAATGTTGCTGGCTTGAATGAGGATCTGCAACTCGGTGGTAGCCTTACCAGCGTGAACCCCTCGATCAGCTGGAAGTACCATTTCCTCGAGAGTTTGACTTGGATCCAAACTATGTGCCTTCTGCAGAAAATCTAAATCGTCCTGCAACTTGTACAAGCCCTCTACCACCGTGTTGGCAGCTTTATGCCAACGCTCTGCTTCCGACTTTGCCACTTCATACGAGAGGTTGCGAACGAAGGATTCGCTGCATTCCACTCGACTCATCTGAAGCCTCTGCAATGTGTCCAAAGGAACCGTGACAAGGTCTTCTCCACCCAGCAGTACGCCATGGACTGTATTCCCCGAAAGGTTTTCGATCTCGGGGTTCTCCACTCGGGGAGGGCTAGGCCCAGGAGCCTTAGCCGTTGGCATGCCACCTTCGGGTGCTGCCACACCACTCTCATCTGACACAGTCACCGGAGCAGCCATCGAAGACTCGGTGTTCTCCATGTCGGTCATCTTTCCCACTGGTATCGAAGAGGCAAATCACAATGCTCGAAAAAGCGTCTTTCGCTAGACAGGCTTGAGTATTGAGCACGTGCATCACACAAAGCATAACCCATGCTCTGCAAACTGAACACAGCAAGAAGAAAACAAGCAACTCAAAACAGAACCAAAAAGGACATCTGTTCTAGAACCCTCGAACACGTTACAACCCTCAAAGGACAGAAGCCCAACGACCAGCAATGGCCAAAGGTGGCAAACGGAACAAGATCTTCTCATTGGAAACTGACAATGACCAGGCTGTCTTTCTTATCTTGGCCAAATGCCCTCTCCAGGTGTGTGTCAGTGTTGCCAAACTGGAATAATGTTTCATTGGCAATGGAAGGTGTTTCAACCGGGAATCCAACAACTCCAGCGATGACTTAGCAATGAGGAGGTACTGATGCTTTCCGCAAGAATTCATGAATGCCAGCTGATTCTCAAAACCTGGATGTGTGAGAAGTGTTCTCACCCAGGACCTTGTTCCTGCTTGGTCTGGTCCACAATCACCGACGTTGACCCAAATGTGCACGTACCCTGAAGCAGATTTCGTAGCAGGCACAGCACTTGGTGAACCTCGAAGTGCAGATTTCGTGGCAGGCACAGCGCTTTGTGAACCTCGAAGTGCAGATTTCGTGGCAGGCACAGCGCATGGTGAACCTGGAAGTGCAGATTTCGTGGCAGGCACAGCGCATGGTGATCCTCGAAGTGCAGATTTCGTGGCAGGCACAGCGCTTGGTGAACCTCGAAGTGAAATTTCCGTGGCAGGCGCAGTACTTTGTGCTCTCAGATGCTCAGTCTCTCACTCTCCCACTCTCAGCCTCCCACTTTCACTCACACTCACGCTCCCTCACACTCCCACTCTCACTCTCACTCACACTCGCACTGACACTCACTGTCCCACTCTCACTCGCACTCGCACTCACACTCATTCACTCTCACTCACACTCGCAATGAGTCTAAGCTACTTGTAGGGGCATAGATGCCAGATCGAAAAGCGCTTTCAGCACCGGAGGCATAATCGCGAACGACCAACCGGGCACGGCACAGGATCGCAGTCTTTTGGGTAAATACCCACCTCGCCGTGAGGATTTGGACTCCATGGTCCACTGCGATGGATCGACCCTTCTTCTCAGGATAGGTGTCGCCAACTTCCAGTGTCTCCAGTTGCACCATTTCTGTACGAATGCCTTCAACCACCTGATCATGCGCTATGGGGTGCCCTGTCAATTCATCACACACTCCCTCAGCGATCTGTACATCGATTTGGTTTCCCCCAAACTGAACAGAGATGGAAGAACCTTGGTCTTCTGCCTCGACGTCACCTCCAACCTCATCGCACCTCGAGGTACCTGCCAAGAACTCATTCATCACTTCGTTCTGGGCATGCTGGATGACTCGATCCAAGATCACATCAAGGTCCATAGGTTCTCCACCCCCTTCTGGAGCTAAACTCCCATCCCTCACACACTCACTCACTCACTCTTCCACTCCGACTCACACTCACACTCCTCACTCCCACTCGCAGACTCTCACTCGCTGTCACTCACACTCGCACTCACACTCACACGCACACTCACTCACCCACACTCACTCTCACACTCACTCTCACTCTCACCCACACTCACTAACACCCACCTTCACTCTCACTCACGCTCACACTCACTCTCACTCTCACTCACACTCACACTCACTCACACTCTCACTCTCACCCACACTCACTCTCACTCTCCCACTCTCACTCACACTCACTCACACTCTCTCTCACCCACACTCACTCTCACTCTCCCACTCTCACTCCCTCTCACCCACACTCACTCACACCCACCTTCACTTTATCACCACCATCACCTCTCTGGACCCCAATGCGTCCAGATCTCTAGACTTTCTGCTTACAGACCTCACACACACACACACTGTTTGGGGTCTCTTGCCGGGATAATGTTTTTCATGTGTTTTTTCAGTTGGGAAGCATTTCATCAGATCTCACCGGTGGTGTTATGTGTTTCATATCCCAAACCATCCATGAGACTGGAGTACTTAGTTAGAATTACATGCAATACACATCTACCTGCTAAGATTCTACCATATCCTTTACTCCATCCCAATGACTGTAGCTCACTCTTCCCTCTCTCCGTGCTCCGGACCGAGCGGACGCACGCCGTCGCCCGGACGTAGAGGAACAACCTGGGCGCGGCTGGACCGTGGAGTCGGGAGTCGGCGTGGCATGAGGCGATGGCGATGGGCGAAGGAAGCGGCGTGGATGGGTGATGGGTACAAACGAAGACGGTTTAACGGTTTGGACGCCTTAGTCTCAAGGCGCATTGCTGCATAAAGCATCAATCACTCATAAAGCTGACTTTTGACAGAATGACCAAGCACTTGACATGCCAAGTATATCCAAATGGATACCATCACAAACTGTGGGGAATTCTGCCACTAGTTCACCATGGGAGTCTGCATGTCCATCGCAGTTTGAATGAGGGTAAGGAGCTTGTTATTGTTGTACCAGTTGGGTCTACCACTATCCACAGCCATCCTGATCCTTTCTCAGCCTACCACTATCCTCAGCCGTCAGCTTCCCCTCACCCCATCTGAAAGCCCAGCTGAACATATCTCTTTTAAAGTGAAGAGGAGCTGGAGGATGTAGGATAAATGAATGCTACGATAGGTTCACATAAATGTATAAATGACATGAAGTCTTGTGTTGCACTGTTTCTCTTATTTGTTTAGCCCAAGCAATGGCTGCTACCTGCAGCAGCCATTCGACATGGACTCCCTTGACATCAACAGTTAACCTTTTGATGAGTTCTTGGTTCCCTGGGCCTGGGATACTGGATTTGTCCATGAGACACATCCATGATAGTCCAGTTTTGTGTCCTGTTCATGACTTCAGGCTATGCCATTTCGCCATGCAACTCCAGGAGCTGCCAAAGATTCGAGAACAACATCCAGAAAGTAAGAAGTATACCAAACCCTCAAGGACAGTGACAGTGGATCCTTTGCTTGTGTTCTTTTTGCCCGAACCGACACCTGTGCGTTTTGCCTCTCATCATGCGCCTTTGTGCGAAGCTTTCTGCGTTTTGTCCAAAGCTTTACAGGTTTGCAGGCTCCCATGACGCAGACCTCAACAGGCTGATACAGCTTCCACATCAGAACCTTAAAGGATGGCAGGATTGAAAGAAGCAAGAAACCATCAATCCTGCCATGGCAGTATTTCATGGCAACATATGGCAACCATGAAGTGTTGCTTCGATTTTTTCGTTCAAGAATATTTACCTATAGAAGCATAAACTCTTCAAATCCGCCCATTGCCGCTCCGTTGTTCACTACGCCCGACTCCCTATGGAAGTACCGGATGGGTTCGACCCCAGACCCCTCCAGGGTCGCGTACTGGGTCGCGTCTGAGTGAATGGATTCTCTCACGACCTACCACTCGTACCACTCCTCCACGACCGTCCACCGCGGCGACACGCGGCGATCTCGGCGACACGTGGCTTGGCGCGATCTCCGTCCGCTGGGTCGTAGAGCGCCTTTTCGGGGCAACGATGAAGGGTCAGTGGCGGTTCAACGAGGCTCTCCACAACACAAACCATCCATATATGGAATACTTACCTATACCATCCGGATTACCCTGTGCGTCCGGGCCTTTCTAGGATGGGCCTAGCTAGGATCGGCCCCTTCAAACAGTGGACATCCGTGAACCGTGGACAAGTGTGGACAGACCGTGGACCGGCCCCTTGAAGTCATGAAACGCCATCGTATGCACGTATCCCCCCCACCCAAATAGATGTGAGATGCCTTAAGTGATTTAAGTGATAGGCCCATTGAAGATGTCCCCCTCAATGGGCTCAGCTATACATGATGGGGCCTAGCAGTGAAAGAAAGACCATGAAAGGCCTATCTTCAATAGGTCTTGGGAATATGAGGGTTCACATTGATGACATTTTACCCCATGAACATATCGCCTGAAAAAAAAAACAAAAAACACCAAACCCGGGGTTTTTCCATGGGTCCAAACTTCACCCGGATGAAGTTCTGACATGTGATGTTTGTGTTCTGCGAATGTCAGTGGGATCCAATCTATAAGTGGGTTTGAGGTACAGTTTGAACTTGGTGCATTGGTCAACGTTCCTGACTCCCGAGCCTGTTTCCATCTGTTTCCCTAGAAAATAAAGCCATGCATCAAACTTTCCGCCAGTTGGACTTGAGTGGGATGTCCCCAATCCTCCAAAAAGCTTTTGAAGGTTGTCCTCTTTTCCTGCGCAGGAAACTCAATCACTTATGGTATACCTGTTGTGAACAATGGCAACATCGCTTTGTTCCTTCAACCTCACGTTGTCATTGAGAGAATTCCCTATCTTCCCCTCTTCCAACCGCACGGTGGAACAGCCCGCGGCTGCAGCGAAGGAAACGGGAACGCGGCGGAAACACAGAGCCTTGGGCAAAATGCCTTGTGCGACAATCTGCTGCACCTCACTGGAGGCAACCCTTTTTTCGGAGCAAGTAGGGGATGAGTGTGAAGAGGCCCACTGCATATGGTGCGTGTATCGAACTTGGATTGGCACTAAGACTGAATGTTTCAGTTGTTGACCTATCTTTTGTGTAGTCCTGTCAGGTGTCTAGTTCTAACGATTTAATTCGCCCTGTGTTTTGCAAACGCATCTTGAAAATGATAAAGGAGTTCTAAAGACTCAAATTGCATCTAGCACGCCCTGAAACAAATCACGGGTTACATGGAGTGAACTTCCACCTGTTAGGTATTCGGATGTATTCGGATCTCATCCGAAATCGAAGGCCATACCATCAATCATATTCCGATTCCAAAGGAGTGTTACAGATTTGAGGTTGGTCATGGTTTCTATGGTTTGCATGTTGCGGCTAGCGGTGTACGTCTCAGAAGAAGTTCTCCCCTCCACTTACTATGGCCTATCCTCCCTCGACTCTGGAAACCCAGTGGTCAAGTTGTGGTCGACTTCACTATGCGATACTATGCGACGGTCGGGGGGGTTTGTTATAATGGTTGTAAACCAAACCCTACAGGTCCATTCGACCTCGTTGTACTACTGGAGTTGGTCATGCAAGAAGTCACACGCCGGACCACGTGTGAGGAGGTTTTCATCACAGGGCCACGTTTTGTCACCAGGTTTTTTGACTTTAGACTGGACTTGTAGGGAAGGAACTTCTTCGGTTCTGTTCAACAAACTCTCAATGTGTCCCAGTCCGTAAAACCGCCACAGAATGGGCTGTTAGGCCGTTGAGAGGGACATCCCAACTCCACCACAACCTCACACCAACCCTCCTGCTACATCCTGCTACAACCAAGTCTTAGAAAACCCACTCATCATGACAGGTGCAAAATGTCTTTGGCAACTGCCAGGTCCAAGCACTTTCTTGAGAGGCATCCAAAACACATCCACAGCAGCGCATCCAGTCATGACTATGAATGCCTCTGAAAGTAGGTCTCACCGCCTTCGGTCGAGTATCCCGTTGACTCACTCCGGTCGTACCTTCGCCACTTGCTTCGGTGGGACTGCGGTGAAAGGAATCTCCAACATATCGTGATGTCCAAGTGGCGCAGATCTCCAAATGTCCGATAGAGACAGATTGAGGGCCCATTTTTCACCACCACCGACCTTGGGGTCCCTTGTGTCATCTACTCTGAAACCATTGTATCTGAGGTGGTGAAGAACCCTGAGCCCCGCAATAACCTGCTCCTTCACAGCCCCTCATGAGCTGTTTTTTCGGCCTTGATGAGCTGCGCAAAGGCTGCGCCACGCACTCTTGAGGACTGGGCGGCTTCCTCCAGCGGAGACTCGGCCAAGGCCCGTGTAGGAGCGAGGCCCCCCGGTCTGGGCATGGTGGGGTTTGGTCCTCGGTCGAGGGGTTTGGGGAAGGCAGGTTCTGAGGGTGCGGCAGGTCTGGGTTCATGTGGACAATTCAGTTCTTTGTGGGAAAAATATGCATGGTGGTGGTTGGAACACCAACATGTTCCTCTTTTGCAGGCTTGTCACGTAGCTGCAGGTTCCTCTGTGGCTGCAAGAGCTCTTGGGAAGATCTGCAGCATCGTGGAACAACTAACGTGGACCCTGGAAACCACTTGGTGCAGCTAAAGGAAAACAGCCTGTCCCTTGTAGTGTTCGGGAATGTATACACTCGGATTTGCATCGTCCCCCAGCATACCTCCAGTCGTAGGTAGGGTAGTTAGACCCCCAACCACCAAGCCCTTGGTTCGATCTGCTGGGAGCCCGAGCCCCCCCCACGCGAACGATCCCTTCGGACTGTGTTCGGTTGTGCCGTGACAGTGCTTGGTGCGGAGATGTCCATGGCTACAAGAGACTGAATGAAACCAGTGGCCGTTCTTCGTGCCTCCAAAAGGGCCCAGCATGGAGACAGTACTGTACTCCCATCCTGTCAGCCAGATGTCCTTCTTCCAGACCCACGAAGAAGAACAAGCTGCATGTCGACTTTAGACGAGAGGTCTTCGAGCTGTTGGCCCCCGTCTTTTCCACGCCAAACAGCGAGTTTGATGATGCACTTCTGACACAACTCAAAGAACAAATCGCCTCTGACGAGACTTGAATCGAAGACGATGTCAGTTGAATGGCAGTTGAAGTCGCATTGCTGGAGCCATCTTAAGCGGGGACCAAGAAAAAACTAAACACGGGGCTGAACGAGGCATGATTCAGACCATCTCCAGCATCTCAACACAGCCCTGCTTGAGAGAAAACAAACACATCCGATGAATCCCTATGCAATTATACTCCTTGTTTCTTCCTGTTTTTTTTTTTCCAATGCTTCCAACACATCGGAACATTCCGAGGTCGCCCGTTCGCGCTCTTCCCAACACATCGGAACACGTGTCGGAGAGAACGTGACGCTCCACCCGAGCCTTTGGGTGCGAGGGCACCATGACCGCCAGCGCGAAGAGTAAATGGCACAACCTGAAGGGTCGACGGTCAGTTAGGTCGACGCGTCTCAGACGCTTTGTTTTTAAGGATTTGTTCAGGTCTATTGGAATAGTGAGATCCCAAATCAAGCTTGAAGTCTACGTCCATTGACCAGATCAGCTTTGAGGGTGATTGCAGTGTGTTTGATTGTTCATTTTCCATTTACCAGGGGAAGTCGAGGACAACTATACAGGGGTCTTAGTTCGTTTTCCGTTGACCAGAAGTCTTGTGGGATTCCTGCTGTTCCAATACAGGTCATCAACAAGGAATGACACCAGCAACCACAACGAAGGAACCTGGCTGGATAGGTTGACATTTGGATCAATTTGGCACTGTAACAGTTGCAATTCACCACTCTGCCTAATTCACCACTAATTCACCACTCTGCACCTTCTATTTCACCACTCATGCCCATAGTCAAGCAATGCAATATTCACATCTTCACCCTCGAATCGATTTCGCCCCCCCCGCGCTGAGCGATGCGCTCAGGTTCTTCAACATGCTGAAACCACCCCGGTATAGGAGGCTATAGAGAGAGAGAGAGATCGCCTCTATCGCCTCAGGCTCATGCTAAAACCCTCAGGCTCGCATGGTTCAGTGGATCGGTGATGATTGGGAGTTGAGTTCTTCTCAATTCACATGGGCGTTGCTCTCCAAAAAACGGCATGAACTTGCAGCTGGTATGGTTCATGTGCCAATGAACCGGGGCCGCACACACACACACAACCTGGTTGTCAAAGAAGTCAAAGCCATTTAAGTTCGTGTGTGCTACGTCCCTCCATTTTTTCACTGCAACAATCGCTCTGACTTGCTCGGAACATTGACTGTGAACCTCGATGCTTTGTTTAGCTGCAATCCCAATCCAAGGTGGCAAGTCATCTATACAGTACAGCTCGACCAAAAGAGGTGCCAAGACGGTTTCAGGAACCTGGGTCATCCTGTCTGGGTGTGCTGTCTACCCTACACACGCAGACAGAAGGCTGCTATGCCACACCCAGACAGGATGCGACCCGCACCAAACCCCTGGTGTTTTACGGTTCGATCCTAGCGACCCGCGACCCCGCCCTTCCTCAACCGATCCACAGGTTCCAGGTTCGGAGTCCGTCGTTTTCCCTCGTCGTTCCTCCCAAGGTGGGTGTTAACCGGGTGCCCGTGCATCGTACTGTACATGGGGCCTTCCATTTTGCCCCCTTGCGCATCCAGCAATCGCTGATCCTGGCGATGGTCCGAAACAATAAAGGACACAATAAACGGGGGTGGAAGCGTGGTGACCCATTTGGAGGCTCTTCATCAACAGTCCTATGCCCCGGAACCTCTTATGCCATGTTTTTGATGGCGATGCTTTGGATCTATGGTTGAAAGATCTGCTTTCGCTTGACGGGTGCCTACAGTAGAGAACTAAGGAATTCCTATAATATTGTAAAAAGCTGTCTCTGAACCCTGTTCAAGAGCTTTTGAGGTTCCTTGCGAATCACCCGAGAGCTTCCCTCTGCATCCTTGAAAGTTTGGCTGGTGTCGAATCTCTTTTTGTACTCCAGGCGACCCTTCCAGTTTGGGCTTCGCCTGGAAGTTGACATATGATCCATGCAGTATTCTATTCTATACCTGCAGCCGCACCCGGCAATGAACGTGCCAGGCCAGTAGGGCTTGTGTTCGTTTTGGCACAGACTTCCGACCACGGGGACTCCCCAAAGACCGTCTCCTCCTTCATCACCTCTTCCGCAATCCTGGGCATTCCAGATCTCGGGACAGAGGGTTTGATTGTATGTCACGCTAGTCATGTTAGCAGAAAGTGAGATTAACGAAACTGAATCTGCTCTGTTCATGGATGCCACAGCCCCTCCAAAAACATGAACACAAACATCCCTGCCCATTCTCCCTGTCTCTCCCTGCCCATTCTCTCCAGACTCCTCGAGCCCTTTGAATCAACTCGTCTGTGGCTCTGTACGAACCAGAAAAAGGAACGTATCGGTAGGTAGTACCAGTACCATAAGGATCGACATGCTGTTACAGCGCAGTGTGATTTTCGTGGAAAAACACCTTCACCTCAATCAGTCAGTCACTCAACCACAATTCGTTTTGAAATCTCGAGAGAAAGGAACCCTCTGTCCGCTGGTGTGTACAGCTGTGAGTGCTGACTGGGTCGGATGTTCAGACCTGCGTGGTGAAAACCAAACAGTTAAAACACGTGCAATAAGAAATGCCAACCTGGTTCTTCAAAGTGACCTTTTGATATCCTAATTTGAGGTCACTTGAGCCAGCCTCCCAAGGGTCACTTAGGAACCCTTAAAAGGTCACTTTGAAGAAGCTGGAACATGTGCAACTCCTCTTCTTCTTTTTGCAGCTTTTGCTTTCGGGACTCAAAAGGTATCATGCATTCGGCACTATATATACCTCCCAGCATGGAAGGCTTTGGAGTGGGTTTTGATAAGAGTGAACAACAACTGAAAACTAGTTCAAATGAATCAACCTTGAATCCAATTGAAACCCCATTTAAAAGCAAAGTCCATTGAACAGTTGGACCAGCTTTCAAGTAAAACAACCTGCAAATGGAAGATCCTCCAGCTCCTCATGGTCTCCATATGGATGCTCGCCACCCCTCCACCCCCCTGTGGACGCTGGACTGTCTCGCATCTGCTCACCTCTTCCGGCTGAAGCCAAACACCACAAATGGGACTGGACAATGGGACACGACATGAAAACCCTTCAGAGACCACCATATGTCCCATCTGTCCCATATGTCATACATCAGACATGACGACATGTCAATTGTTGAAATCATTCATACTTGGTCATATGACATGGGGTTGGTCAATTTCAGAGACCACCCTGTAAGTCAAATATGCCATACATATTCTGGGTTGGCTTCTGGATGTTCAAGTGACTGACTGCAGCGGATTCTTTCAAAAAAATGATTTCTTTTCATGGGGAATCCCTTAATTACAGTGGTTTCAGAGCAAATGGCACTGGCACCCCAAGATGCCTTTTTAGATGGGGGTCCATCTAAATCAACTTCTGGTGAATTAGGCCATCTACTCTAAAATCCACAGTCCACCCACGCCGCACCCGCAAGTGGCTTCAGGCGCCAGCCTGCCTCCCACTGAGTCTCCCCGACTTGTCCAAGAGCGCTGCCGGAGGAGTTCCGCACTCCGCCACCGGCGGAGCGCCCAGAGGCTCGGCCTCCACGACCTTCGGAGCGGACGGATGGGAGGAGGCTGCGCCCGCGGCAGGACCCAGTGAACGGATTGGAGAAACGAAGAACCGAAGAATATGAAGAAGTCTTCAAGACACAGAAAAAGACATCCGCACCCCGGTGGCGGGGGTTGTACACTCACTCTGACCCACTATAACTATTGTAAAGTGATGTTACGTGGATGGCATGGCCCCAGGGAGACGATTTACTGCGTTACAAATCACTTTTGGTCATTGCCAGAGGTGGAAAAACCGCGATCAGTGCAATCGGACTCTCCGTCTGTGGTCACCGATACGTTTGACTATTTGTAAATCTCCAACACCCCCAGAAAACCTGAGGAAATCTGCTCAAACTCGGATACACCCCTTCATGCCTGGTAAGTGGACAACATGACTAAGACAACGTGCGTGTCAGGCCAGGGGCCTTTTGTCGTGAAAGGTTTGCAACGTCCAACATCGTTTTTCACTCATCTTCGTTCACGTAATGTGTGAACTAAAGGTCTAGCTACTACTATGTCAGTGGCCTGGAATGTCAGAAACCCAAAACAATTCGTTCAACATCCTTGAACCTCTGAAGGTTTTGCCAATTGCGCGCCACCCTCCACCGTTGCCGCCACTCTCTCGCCTGCTCCACAGCCTTTCTCGCCTGCAGCGTTAAAACGTTTAACATCTGCTCGACAGCTCTTCCAGTTTGGGTTGAAGGTTGGAACTCCACCACTGCACGGGCGAAACGTCTGAGCTGGAGGGCTCCAAGGGCTCCGAGGGCCCTCGAAGACTTGACATGTTTTTGTATATATCGATGATCCACAACAAGTTAGTACGTGTTAGTTCCAGAAGTGGTCCAACTGCCATCCATCCAAAGCAAAGGAGTATCCCAAATACCATCACGTCTGAATTCTGAATTATTTCAGGCACATCTTTATGCATCCGTGCTTCATCTTACCATGGTATCCCATGGTGGACGCGCTTATAAGTCAAACACTTCAGTCCCTTTGCAACTTGTTCACTCTTTTTAGGGGGTGTCTAGGGTTTGATCCACTCAAACCATACGAGTAGGTCAGGTATGACTAAGAGTGTGCCAGTTTTCAGTTGACGGAGCAAGGACAGCTAAACAGAACAAGGCGTGCGGTCACTCCAGCTTAAGCCCCAAAAGTTGCCAAAAGGTAATTAGTCACGATTCCTTGAATCCAAGTGTCCATCATGTTTCCATCGGCTATAAACCCTCATCGCGCACCTACTTGGTTTCTGTATAGTCGATGTCACCCCCCTTCCAAGCGCCCGCGCAGCGACGTCCTCACCCTCGCCACGTGTCCGGATCCGGTTCCGCCTTCGGGTCCACTGGCGGCAAGGGCTCCCGCACGGGCACCAGCGACTGGCCGCATCCGGTCGGTGACAGTCTAGACATGAACTACTGAGCACACCTGTTTGTGTAGTGGAATAGGGTGAGCAAAAACTGAAGTCTAGTTCCTCAAAGTGTCTCTCATCAAGTTTGAGGGGCATCGCCCTACCCAGAGCTCGACTCCAAAACATGCAAAGATTGCGAGTGGCTTCTGAGTGCATGCTTTTGGGACCCTGTATTGTTTACTTTGGTGACATGAGATAGGCCTTTCTGACTTCCCACTGGGACCAGGTCACATGAGCTGGCTTTCCTTAAAATTGAATTTTCGGTAACTTTTGGCCAGGAACATCTGGGAACGACTATACCAGGACAGATGAGATAGGAAAGCTGAAAGCTGTAGCCTGCCTGAGCGTTTCACTACTCCTATTTTATTTCCAGGTAATGTAACTGCCCATGCCTGCACCGATAGCTTGCCCAGTCACAATTAAGCTGGTAACGACGTTGCCTGCGGAGGTTCTTCAGCCCATCACTTGGCATCCTTCATTTTGGCGTTCGCTGGGAGTGGTTTTCCCATCTGTAAGGTGACGGTTGTTAGATTTTAGACGAGGATCCCGCTGTCTCCTCCTCCTCCTCCACAAGTACCAGATCGCAGTGGGCACTACCGGGCCTCAACAGCAAGCTCACCATTGCAGTGGGCACTGGATATTCTGTCAATAGATGTGCCTTCTCCCATTTCGCCTTTCAGGGTGCGGCTCACTCGAAGTAGAGTAATGTTGCTTTGTTGCGACTGTTCTGTTAAGTTCTGCGGGGCCGACAAAGCCCCAAAAAGACTGCCAAGCTCCAGCCTGCACGTCCTGCTTCGTTTGAGGCAAACTACACGGTAGTCATGCCATCCACTCCTAGCAGCAAGAATTCGCTACGCAAGACGTAGAGAAGCAGTGCCACATCAGCAATAGCGATAATCGATAACGCTGATTTGATCTGGATCAAGTAAAGCCAAAGGTGGGTTGGCTTTGTACGGAATGACAGCCCCACCACCAACGGCAGCAAGCCAATTGTTAAACCCGCCACCACGCAAGGCCCAATCTACCAAACCAGCTTCATCACCGCTGCGATCGCTTCGTCACTCCTGCAACTGCAGCTGCTAGACATTTGGTTCAGCCATGGCAGGGATTGTGTCTCCAAATCATGCCTGAATTGACCAAGATTTTTACCTGAATACTATCAAAAGAAATCCACTTCTCCATCAGCTGGCCACCCTCCCCTTCTTTCACAGCATCTGCAGGAGTATATCATATCTGAGATGAGTCCGGCAGACTACGCCGACGCCATGGTAGCGCAACGGCTTGGCCCTGCAGGGCCTTGGTGAATCAGACTGATGGTGTTCTGGAAATAAGGCCAGCAAGCCATCGAATGAAACGAATGAAGGTGGTGCCGCTCGCGTGCTTGTCAACTCACAAGCGTTTTCCAGAGATGTCCATCAAGTGGATGCTATTCTTCAACTCGTCTACAAGTGGTGTTCTTTACTTGCGATATCCCATGCCACTTGCGGGAATCCTTGGTAAGGGAATGTGTATTCAAAGCTGGCGTGTGACGTTTCCTCCTGCAGGAAGCTGCAAAAGGAAAATACCGACATGTGTCCAAAAGATGCATCAACATTGAAATTCAACCAGGCTAAATCTGCAGTATATCCTGTATTAAATCTCTCAAGTAATGCCACCCTTCGCGTCTCCACCTCCACCAGCTTTCCATCGGCCGGTTCTGTCCGCGTCGGCCTCGCCTTGCCCGGCGCCGCCAGGGAGGACTCCAGGTCCAAGGATGGCGTCGACGCCAAGGGCGGACAAATGCATTGACCTGCCGGGCTTGGAACCCGCGCACGGTGTGAAAGGGGCTCCAGGCAGAGCGTGGGTGTCTTAGCGAAGAGTTGCGGAGCGAGAGAAACTTTGGGAAGACATTGACGGGGAGAGTGATTGGGGTTGACCCCAGCGACTAAGTTTGGCCTTGTGGCTGGTTAGGATCTACTAGCACACTGAGGTTTACCTTCTGAGGTTTGTATTTTGGATTGTTTACCTTGATCTGTTGGATCCTTCGGAGGCGTCAGATTCATTCATTTCGAATAGACGAAAGATGCTCCACATCGTCCAAGCATGTTGGAATAAACGAAGCAGCCAACCGCCGCAGGTGACTCAAATCTAGTGGATCTGAGTGGGTGAAAAATCATCACGTAAAGGTTGAATATACGCATCTCCGAAACCACATCAACCACCACCGTCGATCATTAGGCCTTCGGCAAAAAAGGACACGAGCAAAATTCCCCATCACTGAGATACCTCCATCCAATCCTGCTGGGCCATTTCCTTCAGAAGAACGACATGCAGCACCCTTCCGATTGAGGGAAAATGGTAGGAGTGATGTAGCACTCGAAGCGTGAAAGGCTTGGGATCAACATGGATCAACCACCGGACTGCACCGTTTGTTTTCTTCGACAATTCTCAACTCGAGGCTCTGATATCACTCTGAAGAGTAGCATGTAGCGTTTCACCAGTGTCATCTGTATATAGGTCAGGGTCGATGACCCCTCCCATGTACGCTTCATGAAGACCCCTAACCAAATGCATGAAGGGGTTATGGGGTCAATTGGTTGACCCCTAATGACGCCCTCGTTCTTCCGCGGAGAAGCCACAAGCCCCGCTCCCCCGACCCGCGGAGAAGGAGGGCTTCTCCCTCGCCGCGTGGAGCTGGGCGTCCAGGCCAATCATAAAGGATACCAAACATCTAAACTCGTTCTCGTTGGGCCTGGATCGAAGCAAAGGAGGATCGCAAATGCCACTTAAAAAACAAAAAAAACACCAAGGATCTACTGTAATCTATTAATATTCATTCTAGCTATCTAGCTAGCTAGGTAGCCATCTATCTATCCTATCTATCTATCTATCCTATCTACCTATCTATCTATCCTATCTATCTATCTATCCATCTATCTATCTATCTATCTTATAGCTATCCTATCTATTATTTGGCTGGATCTCCACATTTTTTTTTTCTCAACAGGTTCACAGTTTTGCACATGACCCAATGTCTGCTGGCGAACTGAGTCAAATAATAGTCAAAAGAAGTGGACCTGCATGAACTTAAAAACTAAAGACCTCCCAGTAGCTTCGACGAAACTGTCTCGATGTGATAGGACAATCACCAGCCATGTGAATCACTTACAGGGATAAGGACAACAGGTTCACGGTACACCGTGCTTACGAACTTGTGAAGTTCCAAGTACTTGCCTTTCAGCAGTACTGTCCTGAGCAAGCTAAAGACTCTGGAATGTTCAAAGGGCAGGCGCACGATCAAGAAATGGACTAAATTGGAGAATCTGCTGGAGTTTCTTCAGCAAAGGTCACCGCGCTCCATAAACACAAAGATTTTGTTGGAGCAAACATGGAGGACGCATAGCACGAGATTTATAAACACAAGATCGCTCCAATGACCATAGACATCGCATAGCTCTTGTGCTATAGTTTAGGTCATGTGCTATGACCATAGTTCTTGTGACCATAGCACAAGATTGTGGAGCGCGGTGCTCTTGTCCCATGGTGTTTATAAACATCGCATGGTCACCCGCTCCAATGACCTCCTCGGACTCTAGAGTCGGGACACCAAAGACCCCCGGAGTATTCACCAGCGGTGTGACCGGTTTTTGTCGGTGTCCACCGTGTGAACCGGTGATGGTGGGCGGTGTCCGGCCATTTAGGTCTTGGTGTTGGGCTCGGTGAGTGTGTTGACCAGTGACAGTGATGACCGGTGAGTGTCTTGACCGGGACCGGTTGTTGAGCGGGTCCGGGGTAGCTGGCAGGGTCCAAAACAAGGAGTCCTTTGAAGCTGCTGGGCACGGCGTGGCACCGCAAGCCTCTCCCAAAAGCCGCTGGGCACTGCTGTAAGGATCTGATTCGGAATTTGCAATAACGATGCTGACTGGAGGTATCATGGTTCATGCTATTGTTCCAAGAAGGTGAAGCCTTTACGGAGCTTTTGTGGGTTCTGAAGAAAGGAGCTGAACACGGCATCAATTGCCCCACATGTTCTGCTTTCCGACCCGAAGGATCGTTGATGGAGCTCACTGGAAGGGACATGCTGGAGCTCATGACCTTTGTTTCTTCCACAAAAAGGCGGCCAAAACGGTCTACCGCTACAGGCGGACATCCCCCGGTCGACCTGTTGACCCGTCGACCCGTCTGGTCGACCCCCCAGGCGTTCCGGACAGTCCCATCATCGGTTCGTGGAGCCACCTGACCGGAGACCGCGACCCGTTGGCGACGCGGTGATACGATGGGGTGGGACCGACCTGTTTGGGGTTGATGAAAAAGCGTGAGAGTTCTCAAGCTCGGTTGGTGTCCCCCTCTAAGAAACCATCCGAAGATGGGAGAACCTGGGGTTAAGGAAATGGTTTTAGATGCTATAGTGAAGGGTGAAAGAAAGTACTGGTTCTACTATGTTCTACCCTATACCAAACAAGTTGTGTAAACAAGACCTCGATCTCTTCGAGGTATTCAAGCTTCCTGGTGAGTTGATTCACCCTGTCGACGATCACATAAAAATCCAACTCGATCCTTTGGTGCACTAGATTCGGTGCACATCCCTCAAAAGAAACATCTATAGAATCACCAGCTGGATCCACCAGGAGACCCTGAACTCATATGGATCACCAGCTGGATCACCATCTAGTCTAGAAATCATAAGTTATCATAAGGATCTGATATAGGAATCACCCGGACTCACCAGCTGCAGTTTGGAACAAACCCAGGATCCTATCATTATAAAACCTATGTTTTGGCAGGACTTCTTGGATCGAGGACACCACAGGAGGTGGAAGGGCGCTGAGCACCTTCTCAGTGGCCTGGCAACGGGTCGTCCCTGTTGACCTTTGACAGGCCGTGACCTCAAACCTGGGGGATCAAGTGACCGGTCAGTGGGAAGCGAAGCTCCTTGGATTCGTTCTTGGATGCGCTTCGATTCCTTCTCTCTCTCGCGAGGAGCTTGCCCTCGCTTTCTTTGCTCCCCGCCCTTCTTCAAGTTTCATTGCTACCAAGCCAGAATTCGGAGCTGCCACCCTTCAGGGTAGGATGAGTTCACTCAATCGACAGCAAAATCAACAAGCACAATGCATTAATATGCAGCTAGAGTGTGAAAAACACACAAGAGGTCAATGCCCTGGGAGATTCTTCGGCGCGTTTTGTTTGGTTTCTCTTCCATATAACTCCTCTTGGAACCGCACAAAACCCTGAGGTCCACATCATTCGGCAAAGCGGTTTGATAAGCATGACCGTAAGGAAACACAGTCAAACAGAATCCATGAACACATGTCATAACTCATGATAACCCTAAACCCTGATCCAAACCAAACACCAACGCGCCATGAACACAGCTATCAACCAAACACTGCCGCAGCCGGTGTCTCGTCGCAGGCACGCCCGACTGCACCCCAAGTCGTTCAGGTCGGTCCCACCGAGCCGGGTGGGTCGTGCAGAGAGAGTGATCAACGGGTTTTTGCGACCACCAAATGTGGTTTCTTTGGGCATTCCCAACAAAGAAGACACCCCAAGAAACAGACCCTTTTTTTATGCTGGACATCAAGGTATATACATGGAGTAGCTGGAAAAAGAGGTGACCAGGTGACGCCGAACTAGGACTTACAGCCCATTGTGTGTATCTTATTCCCTGGGCCCACTGGATGATGGTTCAGTTGCAGGCCGACATCTCAAAAGGAATGATATATAACTTAGTTTGCGAACTTTTACAGGTAATGGGACAGACCCTACACCTAGATGTTGTTCACCTATTCACAAACATTAATGGATGATCCATCCGTATCCATTCCATATTTACTCCATGGGACTGAGCGATATATTTACATGTACAGGTCACATAGCGCTATAGGAACTACACCCCCGCCACCGGCCCGGTGGAGCCACGCTGGAAGCGACCCGCGACGAAACGCGCGAAACGCGCGGCATAAGGCGCGCGGAGACGTCGCGCCTGGCGATCATGTCGTATGGCCCCTCACCGCTGCTGGACAAGGATTCAATCAAGATCTGCTGCATATGATGGAAACGCCGCAGGAACCTGGCCAGCATGGGCGGACAGCATGGAAGGCCGAGCACGTGACCCAAAGCTGGCGGTTTGGCGGTTTGGCGGCCCACGTACTGGCCAGTTGAAGGCACTGGCCACGATGTAGTATGAACATATAGTAGGTTTGAGGCAAACAAAGGAGACCTTGTGGTCGTTTTCCACAACATATAGCAACACAATATCCTTCAGGAGATGGCTCTTGCAGATTTTTCAATAAAGCGGGTGAGACTGAATAAACAATTGAACACCAAACACAGAAACAAAATGGAACCCACGAACCTGAATGCACACACGCACTCGAAAACGAACAGCCAAACATTCAACACACTTGTCCAACACTCTTGTAGGCGACAGTCTTGTGGGACTCTCTTGTGGAACACTCTTGGGTGAGAGACTCTTGTAGAAACTCTTGTGGGAAACTCTCGTGCAAAACCCTTGTGGGACACTCACTTCTCTTGTCGGACAACGTCGTGCGACACTCTTCTGGGACACTTTTGTCGACCACTCTTGTGGGAGACACTCTTGTGAAACACTTCTTGTAGGAGATAGTCATTGTTGTGGGGACACTCTTGTAAGGCACTCTTGCAGCTCCAAAATCGCCTCCTCCTCCAAATAGGCCCTCCTCGCTTGACTTCTTCAATAGTCAACGGGCGATATTGCGCCTCCATTCACATCGCGCTTGCCGTTTCGCCGGTTTGACTCTGCATGTCACGGCATCCACCAGTGGTGTGAGAATCGAAGCCAAATGCAAAATGTAAACATTTGCGTTGAACCACGACAAAATCCTGCTTTCGCTCTTGTCGCAGTGGCTCATGTGATACTGGTCTTTGAGTTCGACATGCCACAGGAGTGGGTCCAAGTTGACAATCACCTGGTGGAGATCGGTAGCATTGCCACCTGACACCGCTATGACCTGGACTATACCACCAGGTCTGCCAAGCCGCTCTGGCGTTCTGTGCAAAATTGATCAAAATAGTATACACATTGCCATGCAGCCAAACCAAAACGCTTGCTTCAATTGGCTCACGCAACAAACACACACATGTTTGATCCCAGAGAAACTGATGATTGTCTAATCCAGCACAAGTTCATATCGTCACAGCGAATCATTGTCGCTCAGCTTACGGGGTGGAGTCAAGAGAGATTCGTAACGCGTTGACTGACACTTGCTATGTAGGCCAGGACACACTCCTGGCCACTGCAAAGCCTGCTGCACAGCCTGCAGTTCTTCCTGCTCTTGCACTTCTGGTTCCTGCAACATCAGGTTTTGCTCTTCTGGTTCCTGCAACCTGGTGTTGCACCAGGTCCGATGCTGTAGCAGCAACCACTCGCCCCAGTTTCCTCTGCCTTCATGCTTGATCTTGATACGATTCACGTCAAAATAGCGGAGCTAGAGGAATCGAATTGGCCTGTCCCACCTCTTCACTCTAAGCAAGAAGGATTGCCCAGCCAAGCCTCGGCAAAAACTGAAAGTTGAGCAAACCACTCAAGCAGAACCTGGAGCAAATAATCGGGTGATGTCCGGTTGGAGCAAATCATAGAGTCCTCCTGCAAGGCCAATGGATTGCAGTGCAGGATTTCCAGGTTGCGGAGTTGAGCGGGAGTTGGACAAATGTCTTCCACCCCATGGTGCATATTAGTCGCCATTGGTCTCTGTCAACGGAGTACAGGTGGCCCAACGACAGCATTTTCAGAAGACCTGCGTGCGTCACGGACATCGGGCACAGAATGACCTCCCGCATAGCCATCCCATCATGCGCGTCCTTTTGGCGCTTTGCACCGCAGCTTCTGCCCGTTCCGTCGTTTTGAACAGAAGAGGACACTGCCCCTCACAGCTGCGCCCATGTGCCCCAGCGCTCTGTCTTGGTCTCGACTCAAGCCCACTGCCCGCCTTCCACTGGGTGCCGCGGCGGTCTCCCGCGCCACCAGTCTGGACAAAGAGTTGAATATAGAACTGCTCACAACTGCGAACTCTTGCAAAGTGTGGATCTCACAAACGAAGTCGAGGTCTTGCACTCCGAGTTCAAACCTGACATACCGGAGATGAGGAAAAGGCCAAGACCGGCATGTGGGCGCCCGGAATCACCACGGATGGTATGGTACATGTCATCCAGTAGGGTTGAACTTTTTCGTTCGCCCAGAAGAAACCGGAACTGGGGATGAAGTGGCCAAAACGCCTTGGATTTCATGCGCTGGAACTCCAGCATTGAAACTCAACAAACACCAATGGAACATGTTAAGGTTAGATTCGTATTCAAGGGAAACAAATTCAGAAATCAATGGTTAGAATCAATCCCTATTTAAAACAACACCAACCTTTTTTTGGACTCCTTGATCAACGCTCCCGCACGGTCTCCCCATGATGTGGCGCGAACTAGAGTATCCCTAGGGATCCAAGTACCTCCTCAAAAGGTACTTGGACCCTCCTGGCACCCACCCCAGTCCCACCTCCTCAGAGGGTACTTGGATCCTTAGGGTATGGTGACCAAATGGTGACCACGGCGTTTCGCTTCTCGGTCCGTCACTTCTCAAAACACGTCGGTGATCACTCCGCAGCGATGTTCCGTGCCTCAGCGATGTGCTGCGATGGCCGTGGTCTGGGTCTAAACTGACAACATGGGATGAACAAACATGGCGGCGAATCTGTATGAATCCATATCTCGTCTATAGGCCACAAACATTCAGGGCTTGTTTTGGCCTATTTGTAAAAATCCCACCTTCTCAGGTGGTACTTGGCCCCAAGGAATTCATTTTGAGGGCCGGTTCTTCACTTGGTACATCTGAGAAGTATATGCTTGAGGGTGTTGTTTGTTTTGTGGTGGTTGAAAGGTTTTTTCAAAAGATACCTTAGACCCTGATTGGCAACACAAACCCTGCAAATGTCCCATCGCATGTGAACGGCCTTTTGGCTTATGTCGGGGCATATGATCTGTATACATTGAACGATCGAAGTCAGCACAAAAAAAAACATATCCCAGCAAAAGCCCCCAAAACGTGTGTTTACCTGTCTAAGGTCTAGCGGTGTAGAAGCAGAAGGTCAAGAGATCTAGACGCATTGGGCTCCAAGAGAGAGAGAGAGAGAGAGAGCTGATGGTGGTGATGGTATAGTATTGAGCTGCGTGGCTACCCGAGTGGGATCCAAGAGTCCACGAGGCTAATCAAGGTCTGTTCCAGTGACCGGAAACCACGACGCCAGGCCCAGCCCTTCGGTGTCACCGCCCGCGCCCAGCGGCGTTGAGCTGCAGCCGCAACGAGGACACCACGGAGACCAAGAGCAGCGCTGCCAGCTGCAGCGACCTCGGGCTTCCCGAACCGTTGGCCGTCGGCGGACGAAAGCAGTGACAGCGACCTCTGTGTTCTTTTGATCCGATGGTTTCGGGGACTTCGGCGAGGGTTCTTGTTTTCTTTTCACTTCTTTTTTCCATTTTTGTTCATGCCAGGTGTTTGGCAGGAGTTGTGCTTCTTAGTGGTCCCACTGGACGATGCTCTGGCGAAGGCCAGGCGTGTGGTGTCTCCATACGATCATGGCCCCCATGGCAGTCAAGTCCCCCCCCCCAAAAGAAGACAGTAATGTCATGAAACCCCCATACAAAAGCCAACTGTTTAATTCGGCTGTTGCTTCTCCCTTTTTAAACTACCACGAAAACACAAAAGATCTTAAACAGTAATGTATCTCTTTGTTTTTCCATGGCTGCCGAGTAGATGAAACCCCCAAAGGAGCTCTGATGTGGAATGTCCACATGGCATTTTAGGGTCTACGGCAGTTTCATCGAATCTATCTAATCTATCTGCCTGTTAAGGATGGTTTACGAAACATGTCGGTTCCAACAAACACCAAAAGCCAGTAACTGACTATAGCCCATCCGCAAGAACATGAGAATCAAACCGGGTCTCCCTGCTTCTCCGGCAAAGTCAAACACTTGGAGACCACCTTGCTGTCAATGCTTTCCACGGCCGTCTGAATGAACTCTGGCCTCCAGCAGGGGCAGTCACGCACGTCATGCGGAAGGACTCACCATGATGTGGAGTGCAGGGCACAAATTGAAGGGTTCGTTTCATTAATCTGGTGAAAGTACGTCATTTCAACAACCTGAAGAATGTTGCTGTCAAACACCATCACATTGATTCTGAGAGGAAGCATGCGGAAGCATGCTCCATCCGGAAAACACCAAGAAGGTGCTCTTCTTGGGTTTCTGCCCCCAAACAGACCCAGCCGTGCCGTCAACCTTCCGCCCGCATCTGATCAAGCGAAGGTTGGAAAAAAACACAAACTCTTGACCTGGCAACCAAAAAGATCCAAAACACCACATGCTCGGAATTCCCCAGGTTTCTTACGCAGTAGATCAGCAACACACCCGGGCACCCGGGAAAAGACCCCGGATCATCATGAACAGATTCCCTCTTTTTTGGGGGGGATGTCCACCGAAACCATGGTTTGGTGGGGGAGGGTGCCATGACCATCCATGACCCACAGCCACATCTTGCTGGTTTTCACACACCCTATCGATCCACATACCTTGTGAGAAGGTGATTGGAAACATTTGGAAACTATTTATTATAGGCGCCAGGAGGGTCCAATTGCCTTCTGAGGTTCGGTATGTGGTTCCATAGGGACACAAAGCTCTTTGTGCACGGTCTCGTCGTCTCGTATAGGTCCGCTCGCCGGTCGCCCCCCACGACACCACGAACGACCCCGTGTCGACGTCGCGATGGGGCGCCCGGGCAGTTCAACGAGACACCACGCGGATGCCACGCAACCCAATTGCTGAGAATCCTTCCATTGGTACCTGAAGAACTGCAGCACGCACATGCGGGCTCCGGCACGGCACTGGCACCACATTCCGTGCGTCCCGTGGTGGATGGGATGGGAGGGGTGAGGGTGGCACTGGTAGCGTTTGGTGGCAGAAATCTGTAGTGCCCAAACCACCCTAAGGGGGCCATGGGGTGTCTATTGATAGCCCCGAAAAGAGGTGATTCGGGGTCTCCATGGGTCTCCATTAACCACCCGGACTGTGGGGTGATGTGGAAATGATGTCTCACAGAAAACGTCGTACGGTCGTACGGTTTCATAGACGTGGACCATCTCCTGATGCTTGTCCTGAATCTTGTGGGGGCGTAACTTTGCTCTCCCTAGGGCTCCAGTTGTACCTCCTCAAAAGGTACTTGGACCCTCCAAACCCTCAGGAAGTACTTGGAGCCCTAGGGAGAGCAAAGTACTTGGACCCTCCTGGCACCCACCCCAGTCTCACCTTCTCAGAAGGTACTTGGAGCCCTAGGGCCCTAAGGTCTGGTGTATCACCAACCACTTCCCACACGTCGCTGGCTTCGAAGGCGAATGGACGTCGACACAGTTGACTGGCTCCAATCCCCTTGACCCAAGCAGCCAAAACTGAGAAGAGTCTTCCAAGTTTCAGTGCTTCATGAATGCCACATCTTGCCACTTAGGATTGGAAGACTCTTCGACTCTTCGCTGAAACGCCTTCTTTACGACTGTTCACGCCAAAAAAAACGCTTTCTTTGGCGGATGACTCTGACCTCACTTCATGCCCTGCCCGGGTCTGTGGCGCACGAGATGCACTTCCCAGCCTGAGCAGTGCTTTGATAGTGAACAGATGTGAGAAGGGTGGCACCGAACGCAGTGCTTTGACTTCAGCCCTCACTGAACTCGATGTCTTAGAGGTACCTCCCATGATGTTTCTTAGAGGTACCTCCCTTATGCCCAGATTGATGCCCAGATGTTGGATTGGAACACGTTCTGGGCACTTGTTGAAATAGGAGATGATCAATTCCTTTTATGACAATGGGGGTCCCCAAACGACTTTGGGTGGGACAGTTGAAGAGACTCCGAAAGCCACCGGTTCTATCAAGTGCAAGCGGCCAAAGCCGAGCAGAAGGTCCTTCCAAAGCATCTTTAGCCTCAACATCCCTGGTCCTCAGACTATATTGTGGAAAACAATATGTTATGTAATCTTGAGGGTTGGAAGATGACCTTTCAATTATTGACCACCTCCCTTGAACAGGGCTGGGTTGCGAAAGGAGCTGACAATAACGAGTTGGCAGTATTGGTTCACCAGAGTTACTACACTACGCCCACGCGTCATGAACATAGACATTAAAAATGAAGCGTGAAAAGATCAGGTTCCTCCACAACGGGGCGTTTGTCCAGGTCTATGTGAGATTTCTTGACGTATGTGGTTGCATCTTGGGCAACCACATCAATCAGTTAAACGTTCGCACAAACCAAATGGGAGACCTCCCAAGGACCCTGGCAGAAGGAAAATACACCACAAGCTATTGGTTGGGGGTCTCCTTATTAAAATACACTACCCTTATGACTACCCTTATAAGTACTTCTTTTCTAGAAGCTAAAACAATCCTGCGAGAACGACTAACAATCCACTTCATTACAAGAGCGTCCACTTTCCTTGAGGCTTCCTCCTACAAGACACACGGGAAAAATGCAAGACACTTCCTCCATGTCAGGTGGCCAGGTATGGCCAAGTGTGTCCAAAGGTGTGGCCAAAGGTGTATGCCGGAGGCTCTAAGACTACCCCAAAAATATGGGCACCTGGGCTGGGGATGGAGCAATTTGGAGCATGCTGCAGCATGCTGCCTACCACTGTGGTGGGCAGAATCCTTCCCTAGACACCTCCTGTCCCACATCCTCCTAAAATACGGTAGGGAATACCTCCCCTAGCACCCACCCAGCCCTGGCCCACCTTGCAGCCCTATAGGTTGGGTCTATCCATATCATCCAGGGCCCAGTGGATGATGGTGAACGATTACAGGCCTTTCCATCTCAAAATAGGTGATATCAAGTGATATCTGCTGGTTTCGATTGTTTACCCTTCCCTAGACCCTTCCGGTTTCAGGTCACTTTTGGGCTTTTCACCCCCACGCCTGGGACCAGGAGTTTGCCCGTTCCGCCGCCCTGGTGCTGGCTGCCATCCCGCTGGGTCACCCGGACTGAGAGTGCACAGGCGCGGATGAGCTCACGCGAGGAGCGCAGCCAATGGATTCGGGTCTTGCACTCGGGCTGTTTGCCTCACTGGTCTGAAAGAGTCCAGCAAGTCGCCGGGTGATTTTCGCGACAAGGAGAGAAGGTAAGTTTCAGTGACCTGCCAGTCTCAGTCAGGAAAGGAAGGAAGGAAATGGTTTTATTGTTCGGGGTCCCCCCAATTCCACATCCAAAAAGAGATTGGATACCCTGGCTGATCAATGCTGATCAGCAGGGTTTGGGTCAAACTGAAAAACTCATGTTCATCCCCGTGTCCATAGTGGTTCCCCCCAAGGCTGGTAGACAATCCTTGACGCAAATGCAGACTCTTGATTGATCAACTCCCCCAGTTGAATTGGACATCCTCTTCATGTGGGGGATGTCTAATCAATGAGTCTACCTTTTCAGTGACCCCAAAGCCGCAAAAAACAACAACACCACCCAAACCCTAGGGCTCCTGGCCCATATCCTCAGGTTCGGTGGTCTTCGACCCCCCTGGCACCCACCCACCCCTGGCCCATCTTCGAAACGGACCTAACGGAGGTGGGCCAGGAGCCCTAACCATATCCTCAGAAGGTGGTTAGACCCCCCAAACCCACCCCTGGCCCATCTTCTCAAGAGGTGGGGTGGGCCAGGAGCCCTAGGAAAACGTCGATCTGAAGGGATCCGAAGGGCCCGATCTGCTCCAGCTCCGAAGGCTCTCAGGTCCCGGGCTTCGCATCTCCTGGATCTCTGCGCTGCTCTTGCCAGCGGCGGCCTATTTCGCGGCGACGTGACCGACGTGACCGTGACCGACGCGCCGACCGACGTCATGACATAGACGAAAGAGGAAACGGTCCATGTCACAGGAACAAAGGACATATACACTCCCGAAATCTAAGATGGGACCCTGAGAATGGCACCCTCAAAGACTGTTTTCCTCTAGCTGCACTGGACCAGTGGTGTTCAGTGTTTATGTTTGTTCTCAGTGGGGTACTGAACATGTGTTTCTGTCAGGTTCTTCACCTTGGAGTATACACCCCATGGTCACTGATCCGTCTACAGGATTTGATACCAGGTTTTGACCCAGTCATGTGAGACGTGTCAAACATCCAAAACTCCCCCGTCACGAGGTGTCAGAAACTCACTCAATGAACAACACATTTGCCACAGAAACAATATTGTAACCAAATCACAAGAAACAAGAAACACACTGAACATAATGTCAGCCTGCAGACCAAGCAACATAGACACAAAAAGACAACGAAACAAGTCAAATAGAATCTTTCTTTTATTTTGCAACAACAGTGGGCAGATCCATCATTTGTAAGATTTATCTGGCCGAATCTCCCTGGCACTTCTACATATTGTGTTTGTTTTTCTACTAGCAACACGTTATATACTGTAATACAACATGTCACTAGTTAACTACATAATATGTTATTCTGCCCTTATGTTGTCCCACGCGACGTTGCATGGTGGCTTAATTCTCTGTCTACGTACCTCATAGACCCAGTTCATGTAGCCAACCGGTGCACCACACACACCTCGACCGTCCACCAACGAAAGCTCCCCACGAACCTGGTCCTTCAAAGGGACCTGTCGTCCGACATTTGCCAGTTATCATCACTTACTTGCCCTGTTCATGAGCTGTGAAACGAGCCACCTCACCTCACACTTCTGTCTGTGTCCAAGTCATGATTGTTTTCTCTCCACGCAACCCGTTTTCCGAGTCCCACCGGTCACGAACAAAAACCACCCAACCGCACCCCCGAAAAAAACAAAAAACAAAAAAACGGTGGCACCTCCTGTTCGTCCAGCAGGCGATTGCGTCGCTCCACTTGAACCTGACCGGTGAGCTCGCGCGCGCTCTCTGCGCCAATCGCAGCAGGGAACGTCGACGAGGAAGTCTCGCAGTGCCCCATCACAGCGGGGCTGTGCGCGGTAGAGTCACCACGGTGCTGCCCCACGGACGACAGTTTGACACGGTTTGACGGTTTTGGGGGCCATGGAATGGGTGTTCTGTTTTCCTTCCCCAAAACATCCAAGACTATTAACCCAATAGTCTTGGCTGCACCAACATCCTTATAGGGTTGGATTTTTTGGGATTTGGGGGTAGAACGCATTTTGCGCATTGTCTACCTACTACATATATAAACTATCTTGTACTAATTTACTATCGTTGGTCTTAATGTCAGTGGTTGCTGATACTTGTTTGTGCTAGGAAGGCTTCAGTATGGCTATTCCCTTCGCATTTACTGTCTGTCTGTGTGACATAAGCTTAAAAACATCTATCGACCCAATAGTTTTTGCTGCACATACTTCCATTGGATTGTTTTTTGTTTTATTTTCTTCTGTGTTTCTACTTTACTCTATTTGCATTTTTGCCTTTTGGGTTTTGGTAAGAAGGCTTCAACATGGCTGTTCGCTTTGCATTTGCGGTCTGTGTGACATAGTCACTAAAAGAAAGTCAATGTCTCAGGATCTGCCCCTTAGACATTGACGTTTCTTTGCCAAAGAAGCCTACAATGATATTCAATGGTGCCTTAACCAAAATTGAACACTGTGTAATTACTGCGGTTTTGACCTGACATAAAATATGAATAAAGGAAACATAACAACAAGCGCAAGGGTTAACAATGAGAAAGTGTTTTGGATTCTATATCACATGATATTGTGAAGTAGTTTGGAGTAGATCCCCTTACTGCCAAGAACGATCTTAAATAGAGATTTTCCCTTTTTTGATAATTTATCAAAAAGGAGACATTAAAATAGCAACTATTGGTATAATAAAATAGAACTTGAAAGAAACATGCAACCAACAAAACGCAAAAACACCAAATTTCAAGAATGTTATTCGGCATACATGGTCACATGGCTATTTGATGAAGATTCTTTGGAGGTTGTACTTTTGGATCTTAAACAGAGATACAAGTGTTTCGTTTACAACATTACTACCGATAAACAATAATGCTAACAACACTACTATTGGAAGATGTTGACTTTTTACACTGGAACAATGTTGTAGTGCCGTCCCATTTCTTTCTGCGAGTGGATCTTAATCAGCGAAGTTTGAAGCTATCACTGACGGTCCATAAGCGGCATAGCGTCGGAACGGAAACCGCACCTTTTCTAGTCGCTTGATCCTTGAGCCAAAGTACATATGGTACATATATATGTACAAGTTGCACTGTACGTGTCGCTGCACTTCCATTCGCACCCCCCCATGTGAACGGCAACAATATGTTCCGATCACACACGAAAATTTAGGGATGTAAGTGCTATAAAGAAATTGTATGATTTGCCGCGAGACTCATATGAGGCTCATACTACGAAACATGCTGGACTAAAGCGGACTTTTACATATAAAGTGTGCAACTATGGCTCAGAACCTTTGAAAAAAATCGAATTGAACAAGTGAGACAGTCACGAGGCCTCGCTCAGTATCCACTCAAAAGAGCATCGCTTTGATGTAGATCCGAACTGGTGACTTCCACGTAGATGTCACATTGGCAACTGACTTCACACTCCTCAAAAGATGTAGGTTTTGGTTTGGATACACTTACAGAACGGCAAGTCGGAGAGACAGTCGGTGATTGTCTTCCTTCCATTATGCTCATGGTATCAAATCGTCAATCCGAATTTGCAACGATACACTTATAGCGTTTCAGGTCAGATAAACATCCGGTGAATGATCTCCTCCCTGGTTTGCATGGTATCCTCATAGTCGTTCATAGAAATCACCACTGGTGATAACCTCTCCATCCACGATGATCCCAGCTGCCCTGAGCATCCCACCGATCATCTTCTCCCTTCTTGGACTTTCCCTTGGACTTGCTCTTTCCCTTCCCCTTTTCAGAAGGTTGAGGTACTTCGCGACGTTCTTGCGTTAGCGCCGGCCTCCAAGATGTTCCAGATTGGCCTCCTCCTTTGGAATGTCCTCGGGATGATGAAGAAGTTGTACCTTCTGTTGCATGTGCGTTGGCGGCAAGATCTTCCTGCAAAGCTTGCTCAAACACACCGGTAGCACTGGATGGTGATTTATCATGCGGTCTGGCTTTTGGAGCAGCCTTCGCCTTGTTCTCATCTGCTGATGAGGGCCCGAAACTCTTAGGTGCTGTTGAAGGTTTTGGCTCCTCACTTGGTGCTGACGACGGCTTGGCCTCGGTTCTGGATGTAGATGCTGGCTTTGCCTCAGCTCTTGACGAAGATGCTGCTTTCGCTTCAGACTTAGTCGTTGATGTTGACTTAGCTGTTGCCTTGGCTGCCTGCTTCTTCTTGCCCTGAATCTCCTTGGCCCTATCTCCAAAGCCTAGACGATTGGTAAGAGCTTGAACATGCTTATGTTCTACCACGCTCATCCATCTCTCTGTATGTCCAACGTTGGGGTTTCTGGCCATTGACTCTATGACTTCCTGAGCTTGTGGGGGCAACCTGATTTCATGTTGATCAATGATCAACAGAATAGACTTCTCCCACTTGCTCTTCATTCTCGAGTACATGATGTCCAGAGGATCGATCACCTTGTGGTAGGGTGATGTAATGTCGGTTCTAAAGTAAGAGTATGTCCGACACCCATAAATCGCATGGATGCACTTCTGTACCAATTCAGTCATTGCGCTGGCTTTCTTCGCTTTCAACTCCTCAAGCTGGGCATCAGTCAAGTTGGTGGAGTATTCGAAGTTGCCATATTCCTCCTTGAAGGATTGCGGAGTATGACCAAATGATAGGATCACGAGTGCCACCTTGCAAATGAATTGCTCTCCTCTGAATCGGTGCCAGGCCTCCTCAGTTGTAATATTGTTGTCGTTGGCAAAGATTAACATCATGTCATCTGTTGGATCCAATGGTCTCCCATCGTCATCGATTTCAGTGGAATCCCCTGTACCGAACTTGCTTATCACATCCAGGCGCTTCCTTTTCCAATTTGCTTTGAAGTCGGTAAGGCTGGTGCAATAGTAGCTCTTGTACATCAGGGAGATCATGTTCAGCACACATTTGACCACATACCTATCCATCAAACCCGATGCATTCATGGAGACGTCCTGACAGTAGGCTCTCTCTTGATGCGCATAGATTCGAGGTTCCGGTACTCGACAATAGATGGGGAGATCTTCGTTGTCTCTTCCTTCTTCGGGATTGAACTCGGTCGCTCCATGCTGTGCATAGTATCCCGGTTCATCACGATCTGTCGGTCGATTCGCCTCCGGATGTAAGTCGTCGGTGACGTCTTCATCCTCGGGCTCACCATCTTGACGTTTCTTCCCCTCATATTGTTGTGTGCTCCTCTGGATCTCGATGATCACGTTTCGTTCGTCTTCATCTTCTAGATCAGAATCACGACCGTAGTCGATCTCGTCCTCATTGAAAGATGGGGTCTCGACATTGTCACTCTTGAAGTTCTCTGCACCATCAGACGGTTTGGAAGGATCTGGATTGTCCATGTCCTCGTCGTCATCAGCTGCTTCAGTTTGAGCGATGTCTTCTTCCCAAGCCTTTCTGATCTCGTCCATAGTGGCCTGGTCCAATATATCTTGATCATCATGTTCAGGCTCCCTCTTTTCCTTCTTTTCCTCTTCATCGTCGCTCACAAGATCAACGGGTGAATCGGAAATGACAGTGTTGCGAATACCACACGAGAGTAGCCTGCCTTGACAAGATAGACACACGGACAAAGATGAAGAAGTCAAATGCATACATGATGGGCACAAAATATTGCCATCCACGTTGCGATACCCTTCACATGTTCTGGAGATGATTTCGTCCCAAGTTTCCTCACTGATGGAATCCTCGATCAGCTCTCCATTGTTATCGAATTGTACTTCATCGATAAGGGACACGAGCTTTTGGACGTTATCATCTGTCGCCGAGGCTGACTTCGTGACTTCGTCGGCTCTCTCGAGGATGGTATGCTTCTGAGCAACCCAAAGTCCATGACGTGCCGCTAGAACAACTTGCTCTCCAGTGCTTCCCAGCAGGAGTCTCCTCCATGCCTGAACGTGGTCGTCCCAATACCAAGCACCTCGTACACATCTCCATGGAACTTCTCTAAAAACAACAGTGTAGGAATTCTCCGAAATTCTTCCCCCAAGCTTCCTCAAAGTCATGATTGGAACATAAAGGCAAACGGGCATTCCCACTCTTGGCCATCTTGATCTCAGAATCTTTGATGATCGATCATCCCACGGCGCAAAGTGGTTGAAGAAAACACTACCTCTATATCCCTCCGTTCCACCAGGGACAATTCCTAGTTTCATGATTGACTCAATATTGGAAAGCGATGTCATGTGAAAGCTTCCTCCAAGCTGCATTGCCACATTCTCTGGAATGAGATGTGAAGTCCACACAGGATATATTGACACATCCTCTTCAAGAACAGTCTCTCTTCCAGAATTGTGAGAGGCAACAGCTCGAATTGCACAAGGAACGATCCAACGTTCATGCTTCAGAAATGACGGTGCGTCTGTGCCGTAAAACATGAGGTTTGCCCAGTATTGCCTTTCCTCTTCGAGTGAGACATCCTCCTTTGAGATGCGAATGGCGGCAATCTGATAGCGTACTCTGTTCTGCAACTTCTTTGCATGCCACATCGCCTTGCATAAATACTGGTATCGCTCTGTCTTGACATCTTGACGATGCCGATCACCTGAGATAGTACTGATATCGACACCATCGTTGAAGACATAGTCATATTCCAGGATCTCATCGATGTTCACCCATCCACCCTCATTGCACTTCGGGGACACATGAGGTTTTCGACCGCGGTGCGATTGAATCCCATTATGCTTTCCCACTCCATGCCTGAGTAGTCTATTGAGTCTATGGCTAACCTCGTTGACCCTCTGAC